TCGCGTCGGGGGGCGTATGAAGCCTCGTTACGCGCACCCACCGAGTCCCTGACGTTCCATTCTGCCATCACATCGGCCAGCGCGTCAACCAAAGTGACTCGGGACTGGTACGGCGATCCATCGCGTCGGTCACGGCGACGGTCGTCTTCACTGCGGTCGTTGCGGCGGTCGTTGTCACGGCGACGTCGTTCGCGACGGTCTTCGTCGTGGTAGCGTCGTTCGCGGCGGTAGCCACCACGAGAATCCTCGTTCGACCTCGCATCGCGTCGACGTCCATCGTCTTGACTCCGAGAGCGGCGGAACGACGATTCTAGGTTCGATTTGCGGTCACGGTGACGCAGGATGTCGTTGATCATGTCTTCGAGGTCATGGATGCTCTTGACCCGGACGTGGCACAGACGGTCTTCTAAATTTCGGTCGTCACACGTGACCAAGAAGTGTTCCACGTGGTCCTTCGCGTCACGACCACCGTTCTCAAATTGCACACCGGCGTTGCGAGCGTAGCCGTTGAGCCGGTTGAGGTAGTCACAAACGTGTTCCTTGTCTTCTCGCTTGGCCGAGTAGTACCGAGCCTTCGCAGACTGGGAAAACTTCGAGCAATAGTACTTGATGAACGCCTCGCTCAGCAACTTCCACGAGCGTTTCGTCTTGCGTGGGAGCTGGCGACACCAGTGCAGGGCTCCATCCCTGAGCTTAAGTTCGAACGGCATACACCACTCGTTGGGTGGTGCATGCGTCCCTTCATCTCATAGATGAACGTTCGGAGCCACTGCATGGAGTGCTCGCTCTTGTCGCGCGTTCCGTAGAACGGCTTGATGTTGGCGAGAGGCAAATGCGTGGCGATCTCGAGCTTTGGGGTTGAGCTCTGGTTGTCGGTCGCGCTTAGCTCGCACACCTGACGTGCCCATTCGCTCGGTAGGTCCCCTTCGTAGTAGCCGGGCCCGTGGTCGTCGTCGCTGTCCGACGAATCATCTTGGAGGTCGTAACGTCGGCCGGACCGACGACCGGTCGCTCCGCGCGTGCCAGGCGTGGCGAATGAAGCCTCGTTCTCCCTAGCCAGACGTTCACTACGGCCCGTGGATCGTGGAGTTACCATGTGCGAGTCTTGCATGTACGGCGAGGCTTCGCCCTTGGTTGCAAAGACACCGTCATCAGTGGCTCCCTTCCGAGGGGTCGCTGGTAGCGGGACCTTCGACGGGTCTACTGCCTCCGAGGTCGAACGAAGCATCGTTGGGCCTCGCGAACTGACGTCCGCCACTCCAAATGCATTACGTAGCTTCTTCCTCCACTTGGTTAACGCCGTGGCCGCGGCGGTCGGCGTCCAACTCGCGAGCGCAGCCTCCGTGGGGAGGATCTGGGGTTCGCACCCCATAGCTCGCAGGAGGTCCACAGTATTCTGCGCAACGTGCCGAGTGCTCGTTGAGTTGATCGGCGTAGCCAACGCTCCTCCGAGGTCCATCCAGATGGCCTGGCGGACTTGCTTCGGGGAGAACAACTGCATCCATTCGCTCTTGGTCTTCATCAGGTCTAGGCACCGGCCTAGGATCTTGTTGGCCGCCGGAGTATCCCCGTTGAGGGGAGAACGAGTACCAACCGGCTTGGAGGTTGCCCCTCCTACCGTCACCGAGGGTTTGAAGTCCTCGGTGGCGCCGCCATCCGCGTCGTAGGCGGGCTCGGGGCCCGGCATGTCCTTGAACGTGTCGGAGAGGTCGCGGGTAATCGACCTTGATCCTCCACTGCGACCTGCCGACACAACCTCAGCTTCCGAAGTCTCGGACATCGCAGTCCGGACATCCCAGTCATCATCTTCGTCATCTTCGTTGGCGTCCGAGGAATCAATCGCCGTTTCGTAGCTCACCGAACGCTCGTCAATCGACTCCATCCGATCCGTCGTTGGGGTCGAGAATGAGCTTCCGGAGCACACCGAAGTCTCGTTGCGCGTTCCACTCGACTTGGCCGGCGTTGCTGGTCCCGCTGACTTGACTCCCTTCGCCATCTTCTCTCTTCTTCTTCTTCTTCTTCTTCTCTTCGCTCGTTGGGGGTAAAGACCTACAACAACCAAGACACACAGAAGGTCACACCAATCCCGGGTCGCGGCACCAGTTGTGGTGTGGTAATACCACTTAAACTCTCTTCTACCAAAAGGTATTAGAGACACCAACAACACGCTAACCCGCAAAGGTAAGCGCTTATTGGATCAAAACCTGAAGACCAGGAACGATCCCTTACACCGGGTCGGTTGCAAGCGCCTCTGTGCACCTTAGGTTATCTTCGGTCAACCCAAAAACCTGTACCACTAGCCACGAGCTAAGGCTAGGATACTATGTACCGCTTTCGCGCAACCCCACTGCAGTCCCTCAGAAAGGAAGGGTACCGGCGTGTTAGGCCTTATACAGGGGGACCAAGGTAAAACCTCGGTAGGTAGACTAATACACTCAGGGACACTCTACTCCCACAAATATATACTGAACGATACTCTAATACCGTTCCTGCCTCTCCGGCCACACCAACTCTTGGCGCTGCCAAGGAAACTCTCGGTCAATGCACGATAAGCTCCCCGACAGGCATCCACACGCAGCCGAGCGTGCCCAGGCACTACAATAAGCTAGCTACACTTACCGAAGTCGGACTTGACCCTTGTTGGCTTTGGGGGAAGACTGTCTTTTTATTACTGAGTTTTCTGAGGCCCTGGGGGCCTCGTTCTGGCCATCCTATGATGAGTCCTATGTCCCTATACAAATATCTAGTGTGAACGATCGCAATAAGGCGATTCTGGACACATCAAATGACGATCGCGGCTACACTAATAAGTGCGGCCGAAGTACGTAACAAAATGCATCTGTACCTAAAAGTGGGTACCATGAAGCCTCGTTCGGGGTTCTATTAGGACCCGACGAGGCTTCGGCCACTGCCGGTCACTCTACCGAGGATAATGTCATCATCCAATCAGAAGCAGCCATCTCCGTCTCTCGCTTGACCTCGCCTTGATCGCCCCTTGATTGAACTTGATTGTCGGGCTGGCGGGGTCAACAGCGTTGGAAACTGCCACTTTCCAATACCACACGGCTCTCTCCTCGGCGACACCGAAGATCTATCGCGCCGTAAAAACCTAGCCACCGCAGCGCTCCACCGGATGTGGAAGATCTGGCTTCGGCTGTCAAAGACAGGCCGAGCGAGTCGAGCAAATGGAGCGGCAGACAACGGCTCACGCTTCCGATGGTCCTCGACGCCGACCTCCAGACTCTTTCATCCGGGCACAGTCTTCGTCGTTCTCCCGATCTTTACCTCCTTCGCCTTTGCGCGCAGGATCGAAAAAGCTGGAAGCACCTGACGGAGGCCCTACTTGCGTACGTGCCGATTGACGGACTCTGGTCGAGAGCAGAGAGAGAATTAGAGAGATGGGAGATAACCCGACGCATGCGGAAGTTGACCCACCAAGGTGGTAAGACGGCTCGCGAAAAGCGTTCACAATACAATATACCATAGTAATATACTAGTGGAAGATAACAGGATACTAAAGTACTAGTATCATCGAGCCCGATATCTCGACTACTATATTAGTATTAATACATTATTATAAATTACTTCATAGTAATTTCAATGGTCGACCTTCAAAAAGCCTATATCTCTGTCACTGAACGCTTCACACAGTCGGATTCTTCGTGCATAAATTTTCCTTTTACGAGCATCAGTTCAATCTTGTTGTCAGAGCTGACGCGGGGATCGTGGGGTCGGTCGAACCGCTGCCAAATTGCCAGTGGCAATCCACAGCTCAAGCTTGTTGGTCCCCGTTACTAGAGCCGACGATTGGATCGTGTACTCGTACAGCTTGTATATCGGGATGCTCCAGCTCTAAGTAAAAACCAACACCTGAAGTCACTTTAGATCCGTTTAAACGATTCATATTTTGCATTTACCGCTCCCCGTACAAAACGTATAAGACGGGGATCATTCATTCGAGGCGATAATGAGTACGCGCCGCCAACATGCCCTTAACCAGATAGATAGCGTTCTTGAGCCATTCAGTGGATCGAGGCTAGCTGTAGGCGGGACCGACACGAGCAAAGCCGGTCTGGCCGCCAAATGTTTTGCTCGTGTTACAATTTTGTGTACGACAGTGGCCTGGACGTCAAAATATTTCCCTCTGCACTAAATCGACGAGAGTGGGCATGCGGCCAAACATCCCTGGAAGCGGAAAGATTGCCACACGCCTCTAAATTTCTTCTAGTGGGAGGCAGTAGTCAGCATTAGTAAATGTGGCCGATCTGAGTTACTAATTACTGCAGCAGTATTAGTTGGCTCCTCGTCCCAAAATAATAGCTACTGTAGTATTTAGAGCATCATTTTAATAGTGGCATCAGTGGAATAGCAGTTCAAAACAAATTACTGGCAATCCCTGCACACATGAAGTTGCCCATTGTCATTGCTGACCCCGTGCACGGGACACCAGCCCGAAGATACGGCAATTGACGCTTGCTATAATACCAGCACTTGCCATAGGTAGTTTTGAGATCGATCGGAACAAGGTGTACCCCCTTACTAATGTTCAACTCAAGAGTGCTGCCGTTGAGAAATTGCCAATTTCCAATTGACCTCGGATCTGTGCATATGGTACTGCGTGGCTCGGTTGTCGGCATGCCGCCATGTCCGCAGATGACAAAGTTGAGTGGCCACGCGCTAGATAAACACCTTTGGGTGGCCTGCGATGTGCAAGGTCAACTCGGTGGCTTCAACCGTTTTGGGCCAGTTAACGGCAGCAAATGCACTCTTCCAAAAATGGCAAAGAAAGCAACACCTTCGGGTATATCCCCACCTTGGATCCACACCTTGGATCTCCGTCTAACAGCTCCTTAGCCGCTATGCCGTTGAAGAAACTTCGCAGCCCCCACCGTCGCGCATCCCTGCTTCAATGTCGCTTCCATCATCTTGGAAGATAGTCAGCAATCCGCATTAACTAAAGCACAGCCAACGACTGACATCCACCTCCAAGTCTTCATCCAATGGGGCTCACCAAGATTCGCAGCAAACTGGACGAGTACCAGCGAGATCGAAAAGGGTCGCAGCAATCCCAGTCGCAATCCCGCAAGCAGAGCACGGATTCGACGCTGTCCCGCAAGCAAAGTACCGATTCGACGCTCTCCAGCGACAGCAACAATTCCAAGCCAGATACAGTCAGGCCTCTATCTGATGCCGAGATGCTGGAGCGAGCGCGAGAAGCCCACATGAAGGTCAACTTCGGGTCTCTGGCGTCGGGACCCGAATGGGGCGGACCGTGGCAACGAGTGGAAAGCGCTGACCAGTTTGTGGTTTTCCGGGGCAAGTCCGCTACGAGCAGCAAGTGCACTGAGAACGGGGTGGAAGTCATGTGCGCCGGCGAACTTGAAGCTAGCGTGGAGGAGGTCGCCAGCATTCTTCGGTCCAGCTCGGAAGCTGAGCACAACGCCGCCATGAACGGATTGTACAACAAAGGCTTCATCTTCGGCTCCTTCGAGCGTGACGTTCAATGCTCCGAAAGCGAGAACCAGAACGATGACGATGACGATGACGATATCGACAGCGACGAGCAGCTCGCGGTGAAGACCAAGAGCTTCTCGCGCACGGCCATGCTGGCGCGCAACGAGCAGTGGTGCTACTTCGACTACTTCCAGCGCAAGAAGGACCGCGACGGGTTTATGATCTCCAAGCGTGCGCTGCCTGCGACGGAGACGACACCCGGTCGCATCGTAGTGGCCAACGCGAAGGTGGATCAACTGCACGGGTTGAACGCGTCCTATCTAGTAGATAAACTGCCCGACAGCAAGGGACTCCGCGTGGTGTTCCACGCGTGGTTTGACCAGAAGAACATTCCTGCCCCCACCAGCCACAGGAAGTTTTCCAGACGCAAGAGCGATGAGAGCACAGCAAGCACGAGCTCCGATGCCTCCAACTCCAGCACACGTTCCGATTCATTCGACTTCGGCGACAGTACCAAGCACAAGGCCCAAATGCGTCGCCTGCTAGCGCTAGCTCACGGCGTCACAAAACTCCCCGACCTCGTTCGACGTCGGCGCTTTGGCGTGCAAGTACCCGCGGATCTTAGCGCTGTTCACGTCCAGAACACACGCTGTCCATGTTGCACGCACAGCCTTGCTCCCGTCAAGTTGTCGCTCTCAATGGCTGCGTCAGCTATTGCGAATCGGAGTTTGGGATCTCTCAAGCAGGACACAAGACGGTGCTTCCTCTGCGGGTATCTAGTGTGTGTTGACTGCTGGAGCGCCGAGCACATGGAAAGTATGACAGGTCGAGTCGCTGCCATTGTTGTTTGTACCCGATGTCGCGCTAACGTCCAAGCGTGCGAATACTCGGAAGTGTTTGCCGGCACAGCAGAGCAACGAGCTAAACACCGCGGTCCACCTCGTGTGGTCGAAGACTCGAACGATAATAAGCCCACGATATCGCTGCTGATCGATTTCTTATCGGCTTCGCTACTCAACGCGACAGCAGGAAGCCCCGAGCATGCGGCCGCCATGGCTGTGATTCGGACGCTGCTCCGACAAAGCCAAGAAGATTCGGAAGACTCGTCGGACTCGGACTTTGACTCGGAGGAATACGATGGAGACGACGACGAAGAGGACGACAACAACGAGGAAGCTGAACGCTTGGCCACCCGGTTTAAGGTACTAGGCGAGCTTCTAGGCGACGAGAATAAATTACCGGCCTTGGACGCCTGCAAGCTCGGGAACGGAGACCAACGTAACTATCCTCTGGACCTTCCCGATGACCCGACAGTCGACGTTCCCCGCTCTCCGATACCCAGCAATGAGGCGGATCGCCTCGCGGCTGGGAAATCCTCCGGGCTGCTTCAACTCGCCGACCTGCTCGCACCCGAGAAACCCCCAGCGACGACGGACGTCTCCGTACCGAAGCCGGACACCCACGACCTGCAGCTACTGTGCCACCTCGCCGTCAAGGCGCTGGGCTGCGCCTATTCCTTCGTGACGGTCATGTGCTCAAAGCACGAGCACGTTCTGGCTGGAACGCACCCAGACTTCTGCGGCGCCGCCGTGCCTCGGGAGCAGACGACGTGCCAGCACGCGCTCATGTCTCCGCATCCGTTCATGGCGGCGCACCACGAGGCCGACATCCGCTTCCACAAGCTCGGAGCCACCTCGCACGTCCCCATTCGGTTCTACGTCGGCTTCCCACTCAAAGTGCCGCTTGCTAACAGCGGTGAGGACCTGACCGTGGGAATGCTCTGCTGCATCGACTCCAAGCCGCGCGCGGAGATCACGCGCACGCAGTACGGGACCATGAAGCGCCTCGCCAGCACCGCCAAACACTTTTTGCTGCAAAAGAGTCGGCAATTGCAGTTGCAACAACAGCCATGAACCGGAACCTCGGACTGAACTCTGCTCGCACCATGTAGCAATACTATCCGTTGCATTTTACTAGACATTCATCTCTGAGTTCAGGGCCAGAAACCATCGGCGCGTCGTACCCCTGGAATTGAGATGTCAAAGCGGAGTGGCTTGTTCGCGATAAAGATCAAAAAGATGTTGTTGCTTTGGTTTGTGGCCGATGGCTGTCGCTGTCGTGGTCAACTTCGAACTTTAGTTCCACTGGAGTGTTGAGCCCCGTGCACCAAGTTGTGTGGACTCTCATCCTCGATCTCCGGACGGAATCATGGCTGCCGAGCTCGCCTCACCCCAGTTGGGGTCGACGAGCAGACGGTCTAAACTAACCACTGAAAGCAACATCAACAGCTTCAAGGCCGGTGAACGAACGGAGACAGAGACCGGCGGAACAGCCCTGTATAGCTCCTAATGAAACTTCCCCGACAATACTGGGCACTAGCCCCCATGCGCGAGGGCACTCTCCCCCCCCCCCTTTCAGCCTTCAGAGCCAAAACTGCAACGAACGACTAACATCTCCGTCGACGCACTCCGTTCTCATCACCCACTGCGGCTGTATCGACTTTGCCTCGCCCATGAGTTTCGCCAAGATCCGCAGTATGTTTGACGACGCGAACAAGCGACGCCAGCGTGGATGGAGCGGTTCCCAATACTCCCTCCGACTTCAGCAGGAACACGTTCGACCCAGCCGCCTCCTATCCAGCGGCGATGTCGACTGTGAATCGATTTCCGACGTCAACGTGTACAAGTACAAGCCTCCTTCCGACACAGAGATGCTCGATCGAGCTCGAGCAGCGCACAACAGTGTGGATTTTGAGTCGCTCGCCGCTGGACCAGAGAGTAGCGGACCGTGGCAGCGCGTGGAAGGGAAAGACAACTTTGTTGTGTTCAAGCGCCCGTCGTCTGCAGAGATCAAAGAGAACAAACTACCGGGCCTCGAGGTCATGTGTGCAGGGTGCCTCGATGCAAGCCTCGAGGAAGTGGCGAGTGTTCTCCGATCTAACTCCGAGATGGAACATTCCAACACCATGGAGGGGCTTTACGCCAAGAACTTCATTTTCGGCTCCCTCGATCGCGAGGTGCCATCGCTGGAGGAGCATCAGAACCAAGACGACGACTCGAACGCTGACACGAGCGAGCAGCTCAGCGTCAAGACCAGCAGTTTCAAGCGCACGACAGCCTTCGGGCGCAACGAGCAGTGGTGCTTCACCGACCTCTTCCAGCGGAGTATTGAACGAGACGGGTTCACCGTAACGCAGTGCGCCTTGCCACCTTACGAGCCTACTCATGGCCGCGTTGTTGCGGTCAACGCTCGAGTGGATCAGCTGTATGGACTCAACGCCGCGTGCTTGGTCAATCGGCTACCAGAGAGTAAGGGCCTGCGAGTCGTGTACAACGCGTGGTTCGAGGAGCTTCTCATCGTCGAGGGCTCTGTCAACGGTAGCGACAGGAGTTTGTACCTTGGCAACAGCCGACGAAGCTCTGCATTAAGCGTGACGTCGTCCTCGAGCTCGAACAACGTCGAGCTCTCCATGGCGAGCAGCGATAGTCGGAGCTCGGGATTGAGCGAGGTGTCTTCCACCTCGAGCGCTGCAGCTCTTTATGAGGCCGCAGACGGCAAGGCTCAGCTTCGACGACTGCTGTCGCTAGCTCACGGCATGACAAAGCTTCCCGATCTCATCCGACGACGTCGGTTTGGGCTACAAGTGCCCGCCGACTTGGAAAATGTGCAAGTAGCCAACACGCGCTGCCCATGCTGCACTCACAGCTTGGCCCCCGTCAATATGTCGCTTTCAATGGCCGCCTCAGCCATCGCCAAGAGGAGCTTCCGATCGATGAAGATGGACACTAGACGGTGCTATCTGTGTGGATATCTCGTGTGCATCGACTGCTGGAACGCCGAGTACATGGAGAGCACCGTCGGACGTGTAGTCGCCATCGTAGTTTGCACTCGATGCCACGCCGCAGTGAAAGCTTGCGATTATTCAGAAGCGTTTGCTCCTGGGCAGGAAGACACACGCGGGCCCGTGAAGGTTGTCGCCGACGAACCGGAAAACGCCACAGCCTCGCTGTTGACAGACTTCTTGGCTGCGTCGTTGGCCAACGCTCCGGCCGGTGGCTCTGATCGTGCTGCAATTGTCTCGCTAGTCCGGACATTACTCCAAAGTGAATCCACGGGTAGCGAGAGCGACGAAGTGTACGACGACGACAGCGACTACGAGGAAGAACTCAGCGACGAAGACATAAGCAATAACGTCGCCGTGGTGGAGCTCGGCAAGTACTTGGGCGATGCAGACCAATACCCAGAGCTGGAGTCGTGCGTCTTCGCTAACTCAGAGCGACGAGGGTATGCCATCGATCTTCCGGACGATCCAGTGGCCATGGTTCCGCCCACATTGTACCCGAGCCATGAAGATGCACGCCTTCGACTGATCACCAAGAAGGGGTTGCTGCTGCTCGGCACTCAACTGGCACCGCTAGACCCAGCTCCAGACGTGTCGTACGATGACGTCTGCAACGTCCAGGACCTCGACTTGTTGTGCCAACTTGCTGTGCGCGCTTCGGGCTGCGCCAACGCGTTCGTGTCCATCATGGGCTCGGAACATCTCCACATCTTGTCGTCCTCGAACCCGGCCTTCTGCCACGCCACCATGCCACGAGAGCACACTGTCTGCCAGCACACCATCATGACTCCCAAGCCTTTCATCATCTCGCATCCAGAGGCGGACGTGCGTTTCCACGAGCTTGGAGCCATTAAGGCGCTGTCGACGCGTTGCTACATGGGCTTCCCGCTGAATGTGGCGATAACCGATGAGAACGAGACCACCGAGGGTGAAATGGCGATTGGAACGCTGTGCTGCGTCGACCCAAGCGCTCGGTCTGAGCTCACACATTCGCAGTACACCACCTTGACGAGGCTTGCGGACACGGCGTCCAGGTTAATCCAGCTTAAGGGTCGCCAGCTTCTACAGCAGCACCGTGATCTACATGCAGTCGTATCCTAGTAGGTCAATGGAGCAGCAATATGTACAACGTTTTACGTTGATTGAGGAGTCCATGTGCATGTAGAGTTTGATGCCAACCGCACCCATGGGCTCACATCTCAACAGGGAAGCACAGATCGTCTTGATGATGCAGCGTCTATTGGTTTGCAAACCGCTACACCCGGAGAAAAGCGGCCAGTGCTGCCTTGGAAACACGCAGGTCTGCACTGCTGTCAAGAAACTCTTGTACGGCTTCGAAGCCTTCTTCGTCGTAGTACTGCAAACCGAGTTGATGCCGAAACGCAGCAGCATCAAATGCTCTATCGCAAGTAAGCTCGCCGTCGTTGTCTGCAGCCGTAGACACAATCGACTTGGTTGCGTGCAAGGCGGACGAGAGCTCGTGGATGGAAACCTTGTCACCATTATCCGACGAGATGACCCTACAAGAGCAAAACCAGACAAAGAGCGGCCGCAGTGATCAACATGTCAATGGACTTTCGCGCAACAAACGAGTTGCAAGTGTAATCATGAGCATGAGCATGAACACGTGTACCCGAACGCCTGGTCGAACTGCTCCCGCTCGCTGCTCTCCAGCACCTGCACGCCGCATGCGTTGAGCTGATCTATTATCCTGTCACATACATACGTGCAATCGGAGAGCTCCACCCATCCACCCACCTTGGACAAGAAGATCTTTTGGAAGTCCGCGAGGTCGATGGTGTTCGTGTCCGTGTAGTCGAACTCGTACACGAGCGCTTGAGCTTCACCCTTTGCAGCGTTGAAGCCCAGGGCTCGCAGACACAACTTGAGCTGCTTGACGGTCATGACTTCGGATCCTTCCGTTGCCAGCTCGAAGACCACGCGGCTCTCGCACTCCTGAGCGGAGCTCAACCGCTTGTCCTTGATACGCTGCAGCACCGTTGCCATTGTCCTTTCACCAAGCAGCCAGATTTTTCAATGCGCTTGCACAAGCTGCACCATCAGCAACAACCGTCAAGCACAAAACGGTTAGCAAGTGGCACGGCAAGACCCAGAATAGGCACCTCCACCTTGGAGGTGACCTCCATCTTCAAGACTCGCAGCTGCAAATCACAGCTGCACCGCTAACGTAGAACAAGATAAATTGATTGATTTCAAGCAGGCGATGGGCGCGACCCAAGCAGCACAAACACGTCCAGACACAGCAAGCAGGTCGCGCTAGAGTTTGCTGCCCGCCTCGCTTCATTGGCGCGCGAGGATCTCGACGGCGTCGGCCTTCTCCTCCGTGAGCTCCGTCGCCGTGGCCTTCATCATGGCGTCGATGCGGGACGAGGTGGGCAGGCCGTTGACCACCTCGTAGGCGCCGTTGCCCGTGCACTTGACCGGGAACGAGTAGATGAGCCCCTCGGGCACGCCGTACTTGTTGCCGTCCGAGCAGATGGCCATGGACACGTACTCGCCGTCCTTGGAGCCGTTGAACCAGTCGCGCAGATGCGCGCCGATGGCCGCGGCGGCCGACATGGCGCTCGAGAGCTTGCGCGCCTTGATGATTGCCGCGCCGCGCTCCTGCACGTCCTTGACGAGCTTGCTCTCGACCCAGTCCTTGTCCGAGACGACCTTGTCGAGCGGCTGGCCCTGGACCTCGGCGTACGTGACGTCGGGCACCTGCGTGCTCGAGTGGTTGCCCCAGATCACGACCTTGCTGACGTCCTTGGACGTGACCTTGGCGCTCCGGGTCTCGTTGACCTTCTCCACGAGGAACGAGCGCAGGCGCTCGTGGTCCAGGCGCGTGAGCGCCGAGAAGTTCTTGCGCGGGATGCTGGGCGCGTTCTCCATGGCGATGAGGCAGTTGGTGTTGGCCGGGTTGGCCACCACGAGCACCTTGACGTCGCGCGACGCGTACTTGTCGATGGCGGCGCCCTGGGCCTTGAAGATCGTCACGTTCTTCTCGATCAGGTCCTTGCGCTGCATGCCCTGCTTGCGCGGGAAGCCGCCCACGAGGATGGCCACGTCCGCGTCCTTGAAGGCCGTCTCCAGGTTGGACGTGGGCACGATGGCGTCCACGAGGTTGAAGGCGCAGTCCTGCAGCTCCATCTTGACGCCCTCCAGCGCCTCCTGGGCGGGCGGGATGTCCAGCAGCCGCAGCTCCACGCGCTGCGTCGGGCCGAACACGTGGCCGATGCAGACTGGCGGCGGCGGCAACAAGCAGCAATAGGCAGAGGGTGTTAGTTAAGACCACAGTGGAGCGGCAGCACGGGGGGTAAAGGTGAAGGGACGCACTGAGAGGCAGCAGCGAGTAGGCGATCTGGCCGGCGGCGCCGGAGACGACGATCTTCAGGGCGGCCATGGCTGGGGAGGCGTGGAGAGTGGAGTGGAGTGGAGTGGAGAGTGTTGGTCTGCGCTCGACGAGGCAAATGCGGAAGTGAGGATCGGTCGGTCTGGGGGTTTGGCTGTTGCACTTCTTTGGTGTAAGATTCTGTTCTTGAAGGCGGAGTGACCCGCGGCGATTTGGTTCAGTTTGTGGAAGTCGTGTAAACGCATACACCCGTCGTATCCGATTTTAGGGTTTGATCTTAAATGAGTAAAATCCCTGCAATATGTAATTAACCTGCCATATCGACCAGATTCAAATGAACACAGACTGAGGGAGTATTGCGGTGGTACAGATAGGGATCAAGTTGATGATTAAGTTGATGATTTGCAACTTTTGCCACACGCCGATTTGGCCGCTTCCCCCGCCGCGTCGCTGCGTCATCCTCCAAGCACCAAATGCGCAATGCACGGCGGAAAAGGCTGCCGTGCTGCAGCGAGCGCATGAGCATTCATCGCGCGAGCATGTTGAAGATACAAACCGGCACCCGTCGGGCCAAATTGACGTGACCACATTTGCGCCACATTCGCGCAACCTTGACTTTCCTAATCAGACGCACTTCAACTTGGTACCTTGCGTTCCGGGGCATGCCCGGCGTATGGTGGTGCACTTCTCCCCACAACGCCTGTCAACGCCTGGAAGAGAACGAGGTGGAGTGACGAGGCCTTGTATACGAGCCCGCGGTCACTTGGAGCCGCTGACGGGAATGCGTCATGCTCTTGCCTTCGCAGCCGCCGGCGGCGACGCTAAGCCCAGCGGGGAGGGAGTCTGCTCTACCAGGAGGGGAGGGCTAGACACCCTTCAAGCACGACAAGCACTACAACGCTCGATACAGACTACACAAACGTACATTGGGTATTCATAATTGACTTCTAGGCTGACATGGTGGCGTTTGCGCTCTTGTCGGGAAAGGTTGGTGTACACACGATGCGGTAGTCGTGGGGGCTGGACGGGTCTCTCAGCACGCCCTCCTCAAGGTGCACTACGTTGGCAGTGCTGCTATTGCTACTTCCCCCGCTGCTGCATTGCCTGCTGGCCGCCTCGGAGCTGCTACTCGCGTGAGCAGACGAGTTCGACCGCTGGTTGCTCGACTTGGAGTACTCCGAGTCTCTCCGAAACACTGACGACGTGCGCGGGGACGGTGTCAGCGGCGCTAGAGACCGACGGAGGTGCGGTGCGTCGAGTGCCGTGGGGTAGACCACCGGCAGAGTTGAGCACGGGATCTCCATGACGAAGCCGCCTGATAGCCTTCCAACGCCGGAGCTGTGGCTGCTGCTGTCCCAGGAGCACGACGCTCGATGCCGGGGCATTGAAGCCGCAGAGGCAGAGCGGACGGCCTTCCCATCCTTCGACGGGACTATGCTGGCGATCGGCGGCGTGCACGGAGAGCGTGTCGGAATTCCTACGTTCGGCGACAAGGCAATGTTGGAGAAGTGCTCAACCGGTATGGAAGGGGGAGGACTGGCGAAGGTCGAACCCCCGTCAACGGAAGCGAGCATGGTGCTCAGCGTTCGACTGGACTCCAGCAGTTGGGCGTTGCGCTGGTTCTGAAGTCTCAATTGGGTGAGGGAGATATCTTCGACGTGGTCGCGCGTTGGCATAGCTGCAGCGTCGTAGATGAGCTCCTTGATGACGCGCTGCTGGAACCGCTCGGCGTACTGACGCGGGTTTACTACCGAGACGCCGTGTCGGTCTTGAAACAACAGATAAACACGGACGAAGTGCTCGACACGCTTGCGGAAGTTCCATTGCTGTAGGATGTCGATGAGTCCGAGGTAGTACAGACCTGGGCCGTGCACCTCGTCGACGCTCATGCCACCGCGCGTGAAAGGGTGAACAGGTTTTCGGCTGGTGTTTGAGCAATAGCAGGCACCACTACGGCTGGGCTGGTTGCCGCCACTGCTACTGCGGTTGCGGACGAAGCTTGAGTTAGTACTGAAGCTGTACGAGTCGCTGCTGCTTCCGTTGCTACTGCTTCGTCCGCTACGGTTCGTGCTGCGGAACTGGCTGCTGACGCTGCAACAACTGTCGTGGTGAACGAAGGCTGGTGCTTCGAAGCTGTCGGCCGAAGAGTAGTGCGAGACGTTGAAGCTGCGGTGGTGAATCCCCACCAGGAGACTGTAGTCGATGCAGTTGATACTGCACAGAAAGTCCGAGTCAATCGTCAGCTGGATGGCAACCGCGCGCGCCGTCGAGTACGGCAGCGCCATGTGACGGTTCCAGTTGAGGTCCTTGCCCACTTGGTCGTACTGGTGTCGTAGATTTCCTTCGCCGCGACGTACATCGCAGCGCTGGTCGTGGATGCCCCCAACAATGTACTCGGCACTGCAATACTTGCAGGTCGCAATCGTACCTGTAGGCTTGCGGCCTTCAAGCCGACCGACCCACGACCCTTTCAAGTCAAAACGCTCGTGGATCTGGAGCGACGTGGCGAAGACGCTCTGCATGACGACGAAAAACACGGTCTTGCCGTACATGGTGAGGCCGTGGCAACCGAAAAAGCGCGTCATGAACGTGTCTGGGTGGTTCTTCATGAACTTGTAGTACTTGGGCAGGATGCTCAGAAGAAATCGGAGCTCTTCGTTGGTGAGCGTCTTCACGACGTACTTGCGGTCTTCTGTGAAGTAGAAGAACGCCCCACTCTTGCCTTCGCTCACGCGCTCCTTCGTCGTCTGCTGCAACGAGTAGCGGTAGCTAGTGCTCGAGACCTTGGCCACTTCGCGAAGTCGGCGGAACACATGCGGGGCAAAGTCCTTGAAGACAACCCCTTCGCTGCGTGGCCGCTGGTCGTTGCGGTTCTCAAGTATCAGTTCTTCAATCTGTGTGTAGCTCTCCTTTCGGTCGCAATAGTCGTCTTGGGCCGCTGAGTTTTCGATGGCAATGCCCTCTTCCAGCGATGATCCGGACGCCCCGGACGCCGATATCGATCTACTGGAAGCTTCAGCAGACGCTCGTGCTTGTCGCTCGGCTCTATCGACGCTCTGGCATATGCCCTTGGTGGTGTTAGTCAAAATCTCGAGTCGAAGCGCCCAGTTAATGCTGTCCTCGTGAGCAGGGAGATCAATCGCTCCGTGCTCGCGGAGCTGCTCGATGATCTTTAGAATATTCGACGTCCGCGTCCAGATCAGCGCGTGCACCATTCCTTTGGCTAGCAACAAGCACGTCAAGATGTGCCAGACGTGGCAGCGAAGGTTTTTCTTGCCGTCCTCACTGGTATTCGAGTGTGGTAGCAAGCTGAAGAGCGCGTAACACGCCAGCACCAACGTCCAATAGCCGAAGTAGCAGCCGACGTAGTATTTGAGGTGGCGCTGAATGCGCTGTCGAGTTCGGAACGTGTCGGGAAGCCCCTTCATGAACGTGTTCCAGGTCCGCACGATAGCAATCAGCGACGTGCAGTACACCACCACAATGTACAAAGCGAAAAAGACCCCCGCTGTGAGAGTTCCGTTGGACGCTTCGTCGTCGTTATCCACTTCACTGCGCGGCCGACTGAGAATGTCGCCGCTCGAACTCAACCAGCAGAAGCCGAAGAGCGCGTAGCGAGTGTCAAAGTGCGATATTACAGCGCACACGATGCTCCAGAGTCCACCGCAAATGTGGTACTTTGTCATTTGCCCCTTAGAGGCCGAGAAGGGATTCTTGAGTGCCAGCAGCAAGTCGATGGCGAAGATCAGCATGTACGTCTCCTGGCCCGTGAGAAAGAAGTCCACAAGGATGCCCATATCCGAGCACTTCACTGAGGTCGACGCCTGGTCCAACAAGAATAAGAACTGGTAGATGGCTCCGTAGAGACTCATGCCGAACATGATGCCCGCCGGGTGTTGTCGCAGCGCCAGCACTCTCCAGTAGGTGCCGACAACGTAAAAGCACCCGAGCAACGAAGCCACCGACGTCAAGATAGGGAGCATCATGCTGCCTACGGGGCACGCCGCCCCCTCCGAGCCTGACAGCTCACCCTCCGACATCCTCAAGCTGGCGGTGGGGTCGCGGAGTTAGAAACTTTGCGAGCTGAGAGCACGAACGAGTACTGTTAAGACTCCAGCAGCAGCTCCGGACAGAAGTATGGTGTGGAGGTTGGTTGCGCGCACAACGGGGGACTATCACAAGACGCAATGGGACGAGACGACAACGGGGGGTTCTATCGATGTGAGGTACCCTGCATTAAAAGAAGAGCAGCCACTGCAACGTCAGCACCACTGCGCAAGTGAGCTACTTGTAGATAGATATCTGCGGGGCCGTACCAGTCAGTGGCGCGGAGCCAAAGCCACGGGTGAGGGCGCTGGCAGCAGCAGTAAGCTTTTGGTGCTTCTCCTCTTTGCGATTGTTTCTCGAGCGCCGCGCACCGAGGAGGCTACGCGTCCGGCCGGGCGCACGAAATGGCGTTCGTTGCCGCCCTTCGCCGGCGCTGTGCTTTCCAAAAGAACGATTGCCGTTACGACGCCCGTGACTCTTTAGCGCGCGTTCTTCCACGGTTCGTTCCCCGCGCTGCACACGCTGCACACCTCGGCGCGCTGCACATGCCGCGCTGTCCACGCCGGCCACTGACTCCCTCTGACTGCTTCAACTGGCAAAACGCAGCGCCGAAGCTGCTGCTGCTGAACCCGTACCATACCATTCCATGCCAGCAACGGAGACTTCCGATGCAACAGCGACTTGAGGCCCACGCTTCTCACCCGAGTCGCGTCGTGACGATATTATCTCTGCGGGGCCTCGAGCGCCGCGGTTTCGAGCGTGACGCACTCCGCCTTCACCGTCCGTGGACGTCCTCGGGGAGAGCAGATACCAACCAACCAAGTCTTCAGCTCTTCAGCTCTTCAGCTCTTCAGCTCTTCAGAGCTCCCTCCTCACGCCTTTCACGCGCGCACGCCTCAGTGGCGCTGATATCTATCACGCGCGTGCTCGCCCCGTCAAAGCGCGGCGCGGGTTCACTCGTCTGCATCACTTTCCGCCGCCGATGCGACGCCACAACTAGCCCAAGCGCACCCATACTCACGCGCACTCACGCGCGTACGCGTGGGCCCCGTGGAAGCGCCGCCAGCATTGCACCGCCTTGATTCAGCGCGGCACACACCAGCGCGCCCCGACCGCAGTAATCTCGCCGCTGAACTCACGCGCCAGACGTCGCCGGACGGTGTCGGTTCTGGCTGCATGGTCCTGCGCCGCTCCGCCTTCCGGGCTTGTGCGCCGCGGCGTTGAGCTGAAGACTGCGGGCTGCAGCACCGAGGAGAGGGGAGACCCACGACGACACTGCGAGCGGCACCGCCCTACGAACGGCGGCACAGTTTGCACCCGATTGCACGACAGCGCTCGCGGTCATCACAAGTTTGCTCCGTGTCGGTGGTGAGCCCGTCGCCGCGTGGGCCCAAACCGGCACACAAACGAAGTAGCAGACTACATACCTCGTCGGCAGCTTGACGCTAGCGACTCCATCAACATGCCGTCGCCAAAGCTTGGACAGTGTGACGAAAACAAAATTTGAGGACCTGAACCCGAGTTGCCCATGGTGCTTGCCGGCACAGGTCTGATTAACCAACAAACTGTGCATCCTAACCTTTTGCATGAACAGCTTTGTTACCCTTTCAGCATTTCGCGTAGCTGCTCACCCTAGTGAAGTGGAGATGTAGACGTGGTTTCTGTCCTGTAACACGTCGCAGATCACGTCCGTGAGCCCAAGCTCGCGCTTGCCGTCTTTGATGATCTTCGTGGGGATGCCCAGCTTCATCCACCCCTGCGCCTGGCCCTCCTCGTCATAGCGAGCGATGGCCACGTGACCCAGCCACACCACTTGCTGCGTGCCGAAACCGCAGTGCACCGGGATGATCTTGTCCCGCACATGCGCCATAATGGTGATGGTGTCCTCTGCGCCTTCATTCGGCGTCACCTCTGCATCGTCGTCTTCCTCCTCCTCCTCCAATAACCCAGGCTTCTCCTCCTTTTCCTCCTTCTCCTGCTCGAGCTCTTCGTCGACAGGCAGCAACGAGCTCATGGCGATCTTCCACTGTAGCCATGTCTCCCGAAACGACACATGTATCGATATTTCGGTACAATCAGCATTTTAGTCTAAAAATGCACAGCATAAAAATAGACCTTCTAAAACGTTTAGAATGTCGGTTTTTGGAAGCTGTGTATTTTAGAAAATCTAAATAAATGAATCTACTCACTCGATATGGTTGATTACCCGGCGGCGTAGCCGTCGGGGAATCTGTTTTTCCAGATCGACGAGTTTTTACACACACGGCTCGAGAACCAGTAATCTCGAGCCACAACAACCCTCCACGCCACTCCCAGGCACGAGCGGCAATACACTACGGTGATTCCCCCACGAGAAGATCTTTGGAAACCATCAGAAGTAGTAGTCTACTCTTTTGTGTTTGGTTCTTAGTTTTACCAGTACGAGAAATGTTAGGGGCAACGGAGATTTCTGATAGTGTACAATACTGCAACACCCTGAGGCCACGGTAGCAAAAGATCCATATGCACTGCATTACTTCCAGTCCCGCACTTCGTTTGTCAAAAGCAGCGACTGCATTCTGCTTCTTCCGCCGAGATAAACGAGTTTATCGCAGAATCACGATGCCAAACCATCGTTGTTATTATAATATAACATCATTGAATTAGACTCCTCGTTTCCCAGCGACACTAAGAATTCACGGGCTTACAAAGTAAAAATCTACACAAGCCGTTTTCCGTATGTTCTGCTTGGCCGCCTATCGTTCGGACGACTATTCGAGTTATCATAATTAACGTTAGAATATCTACACCTACACAATTACCGTGCCTTCACTCTCGGCCGTCTTCATTCGACGGCGCCTTAGCACGTCAGCTGAATGTGCGAGTAGTCGCTGCTTCCGAAGTTTTCGTGACAGCGACGACACACAACCATGGAAGTCGCGTGGCCGCTGAAGGTCTCGACGCTCTGTTTCGCCCAGCAAGAAGCGCACGCGCGATACATGCAGATCTGGCAGCGCTTCGATCGCCGTGTGGGGGCGTCCAGCAACTTCATGCGAAGGCGCTTCGTGCACGCCACGCACCGCGAGTTTTTAGTCTCGTGCGCCGAGCGGAACTCCGGATCGGAGAGTCTGCTATACTCAACTCGCAGACTGTACTGACTTGTGTGGCGCTGTCGCTGTTCGACTAGCTCCGGCAGTCGGTGAAGACTTCTCGCCATGGCTGTCAGTCGCACGCGCACGGTTTGCGCGTCGGCGTACCCTTCCGGGGTGTTTTTGGGAGCGGTAAAGGTCGCGTGGAAGCTCACGCGGACTCGAGTACCAGGACACGCCACAGTCGGTGGTAAGGGCTCTACCGTGTACGTCGCAGCGATCCCGTGTAGCTGCGTGACTCGGTCACTGCTCATTTTACCAGCGCTCAGCTCACTTGGGGGCATTGAGCTCAAGTCAATGGTGAAACCCGTGGGGTCGTCGATGTTGATCGAGGGAGTGGAGGACTGCGACGATCCATTAGTCTCAAACGGCTTCGCGATTGCCAAGGAGCGAGCGCGGAAGTGCTCGAGGAAGCACCATTCTTCGTTCTTGGCGAAGTGGCGGGACCTGGTAAAGGAAGCAGTTCGCACTGCCACGTGGTCATCGCAATGCAGACGAAAGTCCGGCTTGGCCTCCTCCCCTTCTTCTTCACTATCGGAGTCATCACCGAAGCCTCGAGGCTGGACCTCGTGCACAATGGAACCGTATATGAATTGGTCTCCGAAGAACTCCCGAGCCACGGCGTTGTAGTCACTCTCGGTCCGAGGACACAGAATGGGCTCGACGTCCTCCGGCTCACAGGCCACTTCGCCCGTCGTGAGCACCTCAAAGCCCTCTCCATTAGCTCCCGTCCGGCGCGAGAGCATAGCGAATCCGGAGATCTCCTTGCACTCCCACATCACGGACGGGACGCGCAGCAGTCTACTCTGGCGACTGGAGCGGCTGGAGTTGCGAGCCCGCTGCACCAATTCGGCGTCGGACACGCAGACCTTCCTGGAAAAGCGAAACGTTTTGAGCCCGTTAGAGTCGAACCCCGCCCACGACGACGACGCAGGCGATGTTCGGTCCGCAGGGATCGTGCGCATAGAGCTCGACAAGTGCGGGCGGCGGCGTCGAGTCGACGTCGACGTCTGCGTTGCGTTAGCGTTCCAGCATGAATCCCCGGTGTCCCCCAGGACTTCGCGGTCATGGTCACGGAAACTGGCATTTCGACGGCTGGACGCAGGCTCGGCCTGCTTCCGGCTGGAGACAAACGGGAAATGGATCAGCATTGCGATGCGGCGGAAGTCGAGCGCGAGAGGACGAGGAGATGGGGGTCGAGGCGAGTGTGGCTTGGGCGAGACGAATTGAGTTGTGTGACTTTGTGCGTGTTTTTGCCGCGGAAAGGCAGCCTCATGAGCGCGTCCTTGATTGCTCTGGGTCGCGCGCATGGAGCGTAACGCAGGGAATTCGACGGAGGCCCGGCGAGCAGCTCAGAAAGCGTCGGGGGCAGCACGCACGCCCGAGCGTTCATGGCTCTAGGGGCTTCAACTACAGGAAATAGTATAGGCAGTTCCCCTCGTAACGGTTCAGTGTCCTTCTGGACACACGAGGTCCCACCTATAATTGCAGAGAAAAGACATGTAGTCGTAGTTTTCACCAAGCTGGGGCTGTATGGAGCTCGTCTGGCAGACTGAGTCCGTAGCATACTAAGAGCACGAGGCGCTCAAGGCTGTGATGATGCAACCGCTGGGCGAGGCAAGAAGCCTTCAATTGCAGCTCCAGACTCTCTATTAGTACGGTACTAACATAAGGCGTCGCAACCGAAGACTAATGACAGCCCCACGTTTGATGTCGACGATTGTAAACAGTGTGCAACGACAATACGGAGCGGCGTTGGATACTCTCGGCGAGGTCGGCGCGCTGTTGCTTGGGACGCAACACTTGGGGCGCGGAGCGTAACGCGGAGCTCTCAGTAATCTCGGAGATACCCGTGCCGTATTTCGGCTGGCTTTTGGTGCAGTTTGAGCGTTAGTGCCCCCTATCTGCCGTGTGGAGACCAAGGAAGGTGAAGTTGCACTATCGGATACTTCTTCGTCATTTCGTTAGTTGCGACCGCCTCACTCGAAGAAGCGTGGGTCAGAGAGTGCTGTGTCTCCGACATGCGTGTGTATGCAGCGAATCCCGTCGAACTGCGCTGGTTCTTCGACTGGACCTCTGTCCGAGGAACTCTGCCGCTGCATCCAGCAATGCCACACACGCGGAGCCAACTCCGCCCTCAGGTCCAGACGAAGAGAAGGACTTGATCGTGCCACCGGACGTACTGCAGAAGGCTCAGACGCCGAGAACGCGCGGAAGCCTCTGCAAGTGCGCTACGTGGCGACTCGTTTGTGGTGGTCGGCTCGCCACGAACGTCTGCGTCGCACCTCTCGACTCAGCAAACGGACTACTCGGTCACCACTACCTGTCATCGGACTGGAGAATGCCAGTGATCTCATGCACACGCAAGTTGCACACGCCTCGGGGTCAGATAGAATCCCCTGGCGATCTGGCTTGTACCCGCGCGGGACGACAAGGGCAGACGCTCGGGCAAGCCGCCTCCAGCCTCATGTCAGTGAACACGGTAAATAGAACTAGAAATTCGCGCCTTGGGCTAAAAAAATTAACAACGTCCCGTCCGGTTCGGGTGCCGCTCGTCTTGCAGGAGAATCTCAGGAACAAGGGCATGATATTCACATTCATGAAGCTCCTTCCGTCTTCTTGATCAGCCTTTTCAGGAGGATATGTGCGGTCGAAGTTTTTTTATTTGTTGTGTTGTAATACATCCACCACTTCAACACTGGACACAAACAAGGCATGGTTCACTCGAAGACCAAGATGTTTTCTCGCTATGACATTGAATTTGTCGAATATGAATAAATAATGCAGTGCTTTTTCCTACATACTACAAGGCCTCTTCAGTCCCCACGGAGCTTCGCCTCAGCCTTCACTCGGATGATTTTGGACGCGATCTCGCCGAACCGCACGAGCGTGCCGTACTGCGAGCGCGTGATGTCCATCGCAGCGCTGTGCACGCAGCAAATGGAGCCCACCATGACTCCATCCGGACCCGTGATCGGGATGCCGCAGTAGTACTTGACGCCTTGGCGGGTGACGGGGTTCAAATTGTAGAAGCGGACGTCTGCTTGCGGGTTCTTGATGATGAACGGCGCGTTGCCCATGAGCAGGTGCTGGCAGAAAGTGTGCTCGCGCGGCAGGAGAGCCTGCACGAAGTCCGGGATCGTGCAGCTCAAGATCAACTGGTGCGTCTCCCCGACGATCGTGATCATCGTACAGAAGAAGCCGAGCTCCTTGCCCAGGAAGAAGCAAATGATGTCCAGCTCCGGCATGGGCTCGTTCAGCTCCATAAGACCGAATTTGGCGATGCAGTCCAGTCGTTCAGCCTCGTAGTCAGGAATCGGGGCAGACGGAGAGGAATGGTCCATCGGATGCAACGGATACGTGCGTTGCTGGGCGTTGGAAAGCACGCAGTCCTTCGCTGCTGGCGCCTCACGCGCGCGTCGCTGGAAGTATTCGCCCACCGCCGACATGTACTTCTCCTCGACCTCATCATCTTCGCTGTCGGTGCTCTCTGCGTCGCTGCTGCTGCTGCTGTAGGTAGTCTCCGTTTCGGCCTTCGACGGGTCCAGGAGCATCTTGATCACGCTGACTGCCGCGTTCTTGGTGGACTTGACTGCGAGGTTTTCGCGCAGACTCAGCTGACCCAAAGTCGATGTGGGCGCAGAGCAGTCGCTAGACACGGGGTCGTCGATGATCTCCACGGGGCCTCGGTCGCCAATTTGAACGTGCGTGTAGTCGCAGCGGTCGACCCACTCGAGGCAGCGCTTGCAGACGCCCACGGCTGAGAGATGGCCGTTGTACGTCTCGACGTTCTCACGCGACCAGCACGACGTGCACACGTTGTACGCGCAGAGCTGGCAGCGGCGAGCAACGCGCATCAGAGCGCTGAGACGCAGCCCCTTGGTGCACGAGATGCAGCGCGTGTTCTGCGCCTCACTGTTCTGCAGCTCAGCCGTGGCCGTTTGGTGCGCGAACACTTGAGTGCCCAGCCGGCGACGCCGCACCACTGCCGGGAGGCGCGTGATCCCCGCGGCCAGGCCTTGGAGTCGAATCCGAGCCATCTTGTCCGACGCTTGTCCTGGCGCAGGCTCTTCCTTGCCATTGTAAAGAGCGTGAAACATCACGCGCAGCTTGGTAGCCCCTTCGTCCCCAGAAACATTCGGCTCAGTGTCCACAACCAGCAACGCCGTGACACCGTCCAACTGATCCACTCGACTGCCGGTAGCTTTTCCCGCAGCGAGCTCCTTCTCGGAGAGTGACAGTAAGGACACGGAAAACCCTTGAGAGGTGTCAACCGAGCTCGTCCCAGCGTCGCTCGTGGGCTGGAAGTACTCGAGGAAGCACCACTGCTCATTGCGCGCGAGCATCCTCGAGCGCGCGAAGCACCCGGTCCTCACCGCAAGCTGGTGGCCGTCGGGCATGGTGCCCTGGGACTGCTTCCCGTCCAGAATCTGCACCACCGAGCCGTAGATGAACTGGCTGCCGTAGATGCCCTTCATAGCCGCGTTGTAGTCGCTCTCGTCACGCGGACACAGCACCGACACGAGCTCTGCAGGGCTGCAGGCGATGCTGCCCACAGTCAGCACCTCGTACCCGTCGCCATTGGGGCCCGTAGCGCGTGACGAGAGCTCGAACGTGTTGTCGCCCGACCGCAACGGACCCAGGCGAATGCACGGCGTGCTCTTGATGGAGTCCCACGAGTCCAATGGATCGGTTAGTGCCTGCTTGAGCGGCACAGCGAGTGCAGCATTGCGCACGCGGAAGAGGAGCTCTTCGTCGTCCACCAGTACCTTGCGGGTCGAGTCTTGCGGTGACGACGCGGTCGTGTCGGCATTCGAGACGTAGCTCGCCTCGGTCAGCGTGGGGCTGCGACGTGTGGTGCGGAACGGCATATCGAGTGAGGTCCTCTTTAGGTGGTCGAGGGGCTTAGTGCGCGTGTCTATCTGGATCTGAAGGAGGCGATGGTCGAGTTGGTGTTGGTGGTGGCCGCTCCAAAGCGAAAGTGAGTGAGTGGCGAAATGGAGTGGAATGTAACGCGAGGGTGGCCTGCTGTTGTGTAGGTAGGGCGTCTCTGGTGTCCACCACGTGCTGTGGGTGCGTGAGATTGTGAGGAACACAAGCGAAGCCGCGAGGGCCAACTTGATGCTGTTGGCGTTGGGTCGGGCTTTTCCTCCGTCTGGCACCTGCAGCCCTCGACGCGGTGGCTCCTCGGTGCAGCGTGAGTGCTCAGCTCTCCCTCCGCTAAATGGTACAGTACAGGTCCCTCCGATCAACTTTGCTTCAAAGAGAAAGCCTTCAGCTGGGCCAAAGTCTCCGCTACATGAATCACAGAGGCGGTCTCGGCCCCCAGCAGCAGGCGCTGCAAGCACGACAAGTCTGACTCAACTCCCCGTCGCTGGCGCTGCCGTCAATCCTTACAGGTGGCCGGGTATTCACTTGCTTGCTTGCTGAGTGGTCTCTCCGAGCTGCATTGTCGGTCCAGATAGTCTATCTGAGATAGAGCGACGCACGAATTGATGGCGACGGGATTTCTTCTGGGCTTCGGGCATCAGCTCGGCCCTTCGCATAAGCGCTCGCAACGCTGCCTGCTCGGATTTCAAGATTCCCCACTGCTACACGTTATCCTTTGATTTTGGGCTCGGCAACGCACTGAACGTAGACGCGTGGCCTTGAAGGAAGCACTTTCACTGTTCTCTCTCTCTCTCTCTCGCTCGCGCAAGAAGAGAAGAAGTTGGCCGACGTTAGAGAATTCGTCGGAACTTACAACTAACTGCAGCTTGAGTACAACCTCCGTCTCTACTCCTTGTGGATAGGCTCATCTTCAACCTAGAGTGAGTCAAGATGAGTACCAGTGCAATGCTTCAACGTCGGCTTTAACACGAGCTACGTAGGATAATATAATGGCACAAATGTATTCGAAGATGTATAACGCCTCACCAAAGGAGTCTGCACTTCAGCAGAACCAACCTGTCAAAAAAAATCTCCCCCTCGATTTCCGCTTCACAGCGGAGGAAAGACGAAGCCCAGTCTGGACGGAGTGAATCCGTCCGCCTCCTCGCGGAGGAAGGTCACGAGGTCGAGACGCCGTTTTGCAGTCTGCCGGATGACAAGCCCCATGTCCACGGCACAAACCCACTGAACCACGTCGACGTGGCGGTTCTGCATGGCTTGCAGCAGCCCTTCTGTCGACACGAAGCTGGTCTCCGCAACTGCAGCGCTGGTGTCAGGCTTCGGCTCCGCGTTCGAGTGCACCAGTTGGGGCGCGACCGTAGCTTGAAGCCAACGTAGCACTCGAAGCTGGCCGTACCCAGCAGCAGCGTCGGCCATGGCCGCCACGAGCGTCGTCTTGCGCGGACTGTCCGGCACCTTGCGGAAGAAGGTGAACTTCTCGTGCAGCCAAACCAAGATCCCGATCTGTCCACAACGCGCCGCCGCGATTAGCGCGTCGTTCCAGATCGTGAGTCGGCCCAGCTTGGCGTGCAGCTCAGACGCCGGAACGTTCAGGAAAATCTCGCAGTTGCCGCAGATCCACGTTACGACGTCGAGATGCCCCATAGCGCACGCTACGTGCAGAGCATACTCGACTCCGTGCTGACGGAAGCGGTCCTCGGCTCGCGCAGGCTGGAACTTGAGGAATACGTACGTGAGGTACGCGAACTGGTGGTACTTGACGCCCCACTCCACAACTGACGAGTCCCCCATGAGCGTCGCACTATGTGTTTGAAACCACTGCAGGGCGTCTCCAGCTTTCGTGTAGCGCATGATCGCGGAGAACGTCTGCTGCGTGAACAACTGCGGGTGCTTGACAGAATAAAGCTGCTTCAGCACAAAGAGCTCTCCGCGCTGCGCTGCCCAGAGCGGCATCCACTCGAGCTTTAACGACGACTCGGGGCAGTACTGCACGGCAAGTCGAACAAATTTCGCCTGCCAATAGGGACTCGTCTTGGCCGGCAGTGCCCACGCAAAATGATCGAATCCTGGCCGCTTGTCTTCCGGGTTCGATCGAACTCCAGCAATGCGGGCAACGCCTGCGTTGGCGCCGGGTGCGATATCACTGCCGTTCGCAGTGCCAATAACCGCAGTTGCGGCTGCAGTAACAGCAGCGGTAGGTGGCTCCGTCGTAGTACTAGCAGTGTCACTGCTCCCAGTTAGCGCAATCACATCCAGCGAGTCCTCGTCAGTCATCCCCCGGCCGACAACAGAGCGCAACACAAGCTCTCGTTCTTTCATCGACAGGGAAAACCCCGGTGATGCCAGCCCATGCTGCAGCAGCCACTCAATCATACTGAAGTGGCGGAGTGACGCACAGCGATACAGCGTGCCACCGTCCACGATGTCTAACGGACGTGCAATAGACTTTAGATTGTCATAAGACGATCGTCGCTTGATGGATGAGGCAGGCTGAAGCATACTGTCGATGGCGTTGGAGGTACCGGCTCGATCCCGTCGCTCGCGCACCAGCACAACCTCTTGCGTTTGTTCAGGAACACTGTCCGTCCGCTTTGCGATCCACTTTGCCATCTCCACATTGCCCGTAGGTGCCGCAGCAATCAAAATCTGTGGTGACCACAGACCGAGCCGCTCGACAACAAAAGCCAGGAGTTCAAGGTTGCCGCTTGCAGCGGCCTTCTCAGCCGCTGTAGGCGACAGTGTGTGTAGCTTGTCCTGTGGAATCCGCTCTGTAACGTAGTTGACAAGCTCCAAGTGGCCTGATCCAATCGCAGCCTCGAGCGTGCGCAGGTCCAGCGGCATCCTCATCTCCTTATGCAGATATTGCAGTGTCTTGATGTGGCCGTGAGCTGCGACGCTCGGCAAGAACGCGGCTGAGCACGAAAACCGCGGGAACCGAGGCGCCAGCCAGCGCAGCACCTCCACGTGTCCATTAGTCGCGGCCAGGTCCAGCACCAGCGAGCGGCATCCATCACTGCTCCGGTTCTTGTGTAGCCATTGCACCACATCCAAGTGTCCGTTCCCCGCCGCACTGCACATACCGACGGCCGTCCCTCCCTCGCGTCGGTTCTCATGGAGGAACTGCACCACGTCCAAGTGGCCATTAGCTGCTGCTGTATCCATCGCAAGACTGGTGCATGGCCATCTCCCATCCTCATGCAGCCTCTTGACCATGGCCAGATCTCCCTGAGCTGCTGCAGTGTCCAGAGCACGGTACCGTCTCCTGCCTAAAGAAGTTCCAAGAGCTTTTGCGTCGTCCCAAGGCAGCAGCGGGTCTCTCTGGTCGTAGATGTCAGCCAGCAGGCCTGCTCTCGAGGCGAAGACCTCTCGGAAGCACTTGCGCTTGGGGAACACCGCCACCCAGTTGAGCACCTGCAGCTTGGTCTCCAGCGGCTGCACCATGTACACCACCACGTCCTGCTCTGCGTCCTGCTCCGCGTCCTCCTGTTCCTGCTGCTTGCTGGCCAGCTCGTGGAGCCACATGACGACTTCCAGTCTGCCGGCCGAGCCCGCGTACTCCATGGCCTTGTGCCTCTCGTACTGGCAGCAGCAGCTCAGCCACTGCACGACCTCCTGGTCGCCCTGTCTGGCGGCCTCGTACATGACCTCGGCCGGGAACTCGTACGCGCTGTTGCGCGCGCTCCAGGCCAGCGCTTTGCCTCGGGTCGAGGGCTTCTGCGGCTTCCAGACGCCGCTGCGCGCTTGTTTCTCGGCGCCCAGCAGCGCGCGGTGGCTCAGTCGGAAGCGCAGCAGCCACTGCACCACCTCCGCGCAGCCGTGCGCCGCCGCGCAGTGCAGGACGCTCGTGAAGCGCCGCGACGCGTCCCCCAAGGACAGCAGGTGCGCGTGCGCGTACAGGAAGCGCGCCAGCGGCTCGTACTGCGCGTCCAGCGCGAAGACCAGCACGCACACGGCCTCGCGCGGCGTGAGGCAGTCCACCACGCCCGTGAGCGCCGGCTCGGCGCCCAGCAGCCGCCGCCAGCGCCGCAGGAAGCTCGCCGAGGAGCACGTGGGACGCGCCATGGATGGCCGATTATGGCGGATCGGTGACACGAGTGGTGGCGCATGTGGCAGCAGTCACGTCGAATTCTAATAGCTGTACCAGTTGATTGGTACGTTGTGTACACCACGTAGAAGTGTGTAGACATGGCTACAGTGGAAGATCGCCATGAGCTCGTTGCTGCCTGTCGACGAAGAGCTCGAGCAGGAGAAGGAGGAAAAGGAGGAGAAGCCTGGGTTATTGGAGGAGGAGGAGGAAGACGACGATGCAGAGGTGACGCCGAATGAAGGCGCAGAGGACACCATCACCATTATGGCGCATGTGCGGGACAAGATCATCCCGGTGCACTGCGGTTTCGGCACGCAGCAAGTGGTGTGGCTGGGTCACGTGGCCATCGCTCGCTATGACGAGGAGGGCGAGGCGCAGGGGTGGATGGAGCTGGGCATCCCCACGAAGACCACCAAGGACGGCAAGCGCGAGCTTGGGCTCACGGACGTGATCTGCGACGTGCTACAGGATCGGAACCACGTCTGCATCTCCACCTCACTAGGTTGAGCAGCTACGAAGATGCGAAGGAAAAAGAGATCAAGACACCTGATTGCTTGACTCCGGAGTTGCTGTGACTGCTGTTGTGTTAGGAGGACGACGCCGTATCGCGAGGTACTGAGCTAACGGACTGCTTACCGCCGTTCCTGCCTTTGTTGGAGCTTGTGCAGGGCGCGTTGGCGAAATGTCTACGATAGCAAATACTTAATATATTGTATTGGTTTAGTTCGTAGCTAATGATCACCAATATTCGCACCAAGCAGCCATACACGTTGAACGGTGATGAATGCCGTATTATCTTCATCGGGAAGGTGTTGCCTTGTGACGGAACTTCCACCTGAGATTGCCATTCAGTCCAATACATTTCGAAGTAAGCCATCCAAGCAGCCGGGTGGTGAATGCATTAATACGGTCGGTAGTGTTGTTGCCGTTTACTACTTGCTTTGCTGCTGCTGCGGCACTAACATTCTTTCCTTTTGCTTTTGTCTGTTCTTGGTACTTGGTAGTCGGGATCCGACAAGCAATACAGAATTGAATGTGCTCACAACGCTCTGCTTTGATTACATTTCTTCATAATTCCGTCGTGCCAAAATTTGGGGAGAGCCCTTCCCTGCTTTGATTGAGATGCATCTACTCATCCAAATGCGCCAAGAATTAACCTTTTTCCTTTCAGAATTGTGTATAGCTGAAAAATCCAATGTAAATGATACGAACAATTACCCCCATGTTCAGCCTAGAAGTCAATAACATTTATAAAACGTACCCTTTGCTATCACATCGCGCGCTTGCACTGACATCGAGTTAGAAACACAAGTGCCTTAGCTCTCTTCATCAGAAACTGATGTCGATGCGGAAAATTCAAAATCACAGACACCTTTGCATAAATTTAAGGCCTTAATATGCCTGCAATCCGTAGAAATAATAAGAAAAAAAAAGCTGAACTAATTACACGTTACCCACCATCTACCTATCTGCTAAACAAAATAAACAGCATCAGGGCAACAATAGAGTTGCTTCTCAGCAACAAAACCATTCACAGATTTTTTTAGCGCCTCGGAAACAATCTGTCTGTAAAACGTTTGCAGATTTTACAACGTCAACCATTATTGTCAGCTGTTGTAACTCATGACTGCGAGAGAATCATCGACTACATCTACACTTAAGATAGAACAACAACAAGTCACTGTTCGAACGATAACACTGCTACATCGTTAATACCAAGCTTACATTGCTTGATCCGGTAGAATCATTGTAGTTTATTACATCGTCAACAAAACGAAATCGTGTAAAAAGATTACACGATTCTGTTCTGCTCTGTTTTGTTTTGCTGCAGCGGTTTGTCGATCACGTCGTTTACTCAGCGCTCGATTATTGGTGAGGCTCATGACGACCAGCAGCTCATAGAATATACTTAGACTAAAATGATTCGCCGAGACCAGGAAGACATTGATCATCGACATTAACTGGCTGTTGGGTAGATCGCCTAAGCAAGGAACCCGTTCTTGTACTAGGTCGGGCTGATGGAATGCGAAGAGTACGACGTCGAAACACTGAAAGAAATCCTTGAGCCTCTGAAGTTGGCTACTTCTTCCTCAACAAAACTCCACGTCCCCACCGTAATAGTATTGACAACTCGGATCAACTGAAACTCCATCAAGCTGCAAAGTTACTACGCGTTCACTGTTAAAGGAAGCCACGAATGCGCTGCTCGTGATTGCTCTTCAGAAATCGATAGCGTTAATTCGAGTCTGTAAACGCTCATCTGCTTTGACGGAGTCTGAGTCTTCAGATTAACAGCATCATCAAACGAATCAACACCATCGCGCGAGCTGTGATTAAGCGCGGAGAACTGTAGCTTTATTGTATTCTGTGCGCCCGACACAAAAGAACCAATGTAGTCTCCAATATCCCATCGATCAGCAAGACTAGAGGCTGGCGACGTCGTACCGTTGAGGAATGCGCGAAACACGCAGAAACAGCCATTCAGCACTTGGTCATGCCCTCTGGAGGCGACTCGGTTAAATTGAGTAGTGTGGTTCCAATCGAGAGGAAGGAGGTCGCTTTGAAATTGCTGCCACCTGTCTCGGACGTGTTAGATACTTGAATGTCGATGGTAGGGATCTGCTGGGTGAACAAAACCAAACTAACACGCCACCATTTACCACAACGGCATAAGGAACCACCCCGCCCACCGACCATTCCAGCAGCGCAAGCGAATATCTTTTTGGCTTATACTCTATGGGAGACTGTGGATACTGTGTCGCGCCTCAACCAGTTTTTTTCCGGTGGCGCAGCTGTGCCATGAAGATCTGGAGCGCCCGAGTCACAGCCACCAGCGATCGGTTTAGGACTTTAGGAGTATTTCCTTGATGACTTCGCAACTATCAGAATGGAGAGCGCTCGTAGATCACAGTAGTTGGTTCGCGAGACCAGAGATACGAAGAGACAAGTCTTCGTGCTCTTGTGTGTGCAATAGCACGAGGATTGTGCCGTACATTTTTTCCACAAAGTCGTAAATGGGTTCTTGGAATTGCAGTTTGGTCGGAATCTCGACGACGGATGCAGTGTCGAGTCTGACAGACGCGGTTATAATGGCGATGCTGAAACTTGAGTTCATCAGCTGGCAGATCGACGGAGATGTGTCAGCGCGCCCAGCAGTAGCTTGTGATCTTCCTGCAGGAACCTCTCGGTGATGACGTAGCAGAGACCTGGTGCCGAACAGTGGACCATCACCTCATTCGAGCTGTCGATGCTGCGTCACCTTTTTTTTTAAATGTAGCAAATAATATTCTTCGACGAGCCGCAAGTGAAATCGATTGAAGAGCGGTCCGGACAGCAGTGAGAGAAGCACCAAAGCGTCTAACTTCAACAGCGCGTGTTTACACAAAATGAGAACGAGGGGGTCCCTGAATAGTCTACCAATCGATCGTAATCGTAGACAGATGCTAACGTGGTTCGCATCGATTTCCACGTCGTAGTGCATACCTGTTTCCCTGTTGTTCCATGCTTCTGCGTATTCGGTCGGTGGTCGTCAACCTCGAGTCACGGAGATATCCATACACTTTGCACATAGAGTTGAGTGGGCGCCTGCCTGGGGTACTCCCCCTGAAAGAGCGAGCGCGGGCTGTCTCCGCAGGCGTAAAAGAAGAAGCTACATGAGACCATGCGCGGCCATGAGTGTTGGCTGGCGCTACCGCTCAACATCCCAGCCGGGGCCGATCTAATTAATGCACGGTTATTTGTGAGAAAAAAAAAGTCCAGAAATGAGAAGTATCATAACTGTGAGGATTAGATCGGACTAAATACCAGAAAATAGTCCTGTAGAATTAGACCGAACTAAATGGACACAAAATTGATACACAATCGGCCGGACCAACCATCTCCGCTGCGTGCGCAGCCTATGAGTATAAGCCCGCTGGGCTCAGTTCGCTCTCCTCGCAAGTAAGCCGGACGACGTCTGTGAATGCAGCGTGGAGCTTCCTAGGGGACGGGTTTATCTACGGCTACATTGTGCAGGTTTTCAGCCATGACACGTTGATGACGGCTCTGACTGACACCGCAGTGAAGCAGAGGAAGGCTAGAGGACAGCGCATCCTTCTTCCGTTTGCATCGCGCCTGCGACGTAGCAGTACAACGAGCGCTCACCAGGAACCAGCAGCGAAACAGTTCTCGATCCGCGGAAGGCCGCCTTTGGTCCAACGGTTCGTCCAAGTCGTCTATTTGGTCCACCAACATCGACCACAGAGCTGGATACTGGTAGAATGATAACTGAACGCATCACACGGCTGCCTGCCTGCCGCAACGTACATGATGGAGCCGTTGGTGGGCGTTGGGTGCCGCACCCTTTGTGTCCACGCTACCTCTTGAACACGACGGAACGACCCCAAGCAGCACACGAGTTGTTGGATTCTATGGCGAGGATTCTTCTTCACCCACAGCCGGGAGTTAGTTGAGCTGCGACGGAGCCACACGAATCAGTTTCCTCCGCGAGGAGAGTTTAGCAGAAAGTAATTCCGGTCAAAAAGGTTTTCAAGCAGCTGACTTGGAGATTTAATCAAGGCCGGCGTTATCTTCTGCACATTTGCCTGCTAACGGATGACAACGATAGTTGCCGAAGAGCGTAACTAATCCAAACGGACTAAGAAGCGATTGCCCTCGTCTAAAAACTAGCTTGGTGAAGTGCGACAAAAGTTTTCAAATACTTTGAAGTACAAGTTTCGCATTTAGCGGCTAGAGATCGGAATTCTTACCCAGATTTTGTTGCCAGGGTCAGATGCTAGACTTACGGATGCCTGCTCGGCTTAGATAATTGCGTTTACGATCCAACCGAGTGTTTCCAGGTTTCTTATGAACACCAACCTGGTGTAAAAGTCCACGGAATGGGACGTTGGCGGATACTGTATCCACGACACTATCACTTTTGTCGTTGTACTACAATACGAGCTACGGTAACGAATAAGGAAGCGCGCGATCACAATATTACGAAGTGCAATTTTCGTGCTGCAGTACGATGTAATACATTGAAGCTGATTTTTTTTATAAAGCACCTGTGAACGAGTTATTCCCAAGATTTTTTTTTACCTGGCTTTAGGACATATTTTGAAGTACATATAGCGTAAATTTTTGTACCTAGAACTTGGTTAATACACGAGGATTTCCGGTTAGAAAAGCACTAACTTGGAAGCAGCATTTATACTTACTTTGAAGTAGCGGAAGAAGTACGAAACAACCGCCACCTATGTATGAAATCTTGTCGACGATATCTTGCCCGCAATTGAAAGACAAAAATCCACAATCAACGCGCATCGAGGATATAGAAGTCGAAATACTGCTCGCACGTAATCCGAGAAACTCAGCAGGTACGCTCGTTGGAGCATTGACTATTATAGCATTTTCGTTCTAAGCGAAGAGTGTGGAGATCATTTAAGGCGTGAGCAAAGAGCCTTTTCCCCGTATTTGCCGGCACGACGGTGCCCCCCCCCCAAAAAAAATTTTTGTTGTTGCTAAAGCGTAACAATCGGCTAGCGCAGTAGTAATGTACCAAATGTGCACTCGCCAATTCCAGATCGTACTGCTCCAACGACGATCCGGTGCTCCCTGTAAACTTTGTGATCGCACGTTAACCGATTATGAAGCATTTGAGTTTACGTATACTTTGGAGAGCGAGCACATCTTTTTCTCCTCGATGTTTTCTAGCGTAATAGAATTTCCTGGTGAACCAAGTTCAGCATATTTCGGCGTTTGACAGAATTGGACACGAGCCAGAGCGGCTGTAAATCTACTTTTTCGTCATTTCACTAGCTACGAGATACACGTAAGCGACATCTGGCTGTGCTTGGATGCAAACATAATTTTTCTGCTGCTCGACTGGAGGTTTGCCGGGACAGCCACCCCGTAGGGTTTATAGGCTCACGATGTACTCGATCTCAGCAGGTTTACATGTATAGCGGCTGTGAAGCGCCATCACTGGGACCCAGTACAGTGCCGTCAACTTGGCACCCCGAGCCGAAGAAGACATATCCGCCAGCGTCCTTCGATCAGTGGAAAGCGCTGCGACTGAGATATTTCCTTGGACCTTGAGTTTGCGCTGGGTTTGTCCTGGGAGGCGTTCGTCCCCAATCACTAGCGTTAACTCGAGTCTGTACACGCTGATGCACTGTGGTGGAGCGTGTGCCGTCGATTTTCCAGTGTTTTGAGATCCACTTCCAACGGATCCGTGGCCAAGCGCGAAGAACTGCAGCTCGAAACCATCGTGTGCGTCCGACAAGAAGGAACCAACATAGTCCCCAATGTCCCACCGACCAGCAAGACTCGCCGCAAGCGACGAGATACCGTTGGGAAGTGTGCGGAACACACGGAAGCGACCATCCAGCACTAGGTGCATTCCATCTGGCGGCGTCGTTGTCGAGATATCCGTTGACTCAAGTGGTGCGGTGTCAATTGCAAGAAAGCAGGACTCTTTGTATCCGCCACCATCGTGAAGTGGACTAGATATTTGAATGTCGACGGTTGCGAGCTGCTGGATGCACAACATCCAAATCAAGACCCCTCCGCTCGCTGCATTGTCGTACGGAACTACACGAGTTGTTTCGGCATCCATCACCCACCGACCATTCCAGCTATGCAAGTAAGAGATACCCTCCTGGTTTACAAGTCCGCTCAGACTTACGGGAAATGCGTAGACTCTGGATCGTTGGTCCGTCAGCTTTTTCCAGTACGTGACATACATTTCCCGGAGTTGGGCTGTGAAGGTTTGGAGCGCGAGAGTCACTGGTACCAGCGATCGATTCAGTAGCATCTCTGAGATCAGCTTCTGCAATGGTCGAAATGGAGCGCGCTCGTAGATCACTCTTAGCAATTTGCTTGAGAGCTCAGCAATGCGGAGAGATAAGTCTTCGTTTTCATGACTGCGCAACATCACCATGGCCTCGTACAGATTTCCAACAAAATCGTAGAAACGTTCTTGGAATTGCTGCTTGGTCGGAATCTCGACGAGCCCGGCCACAGCCGAATCGAGTTCTGGGGTGGTAGTGAATGTTGAGCTTATCAGTTGGCGAATCGATGAAGACGTCAGCACATCCAGCAGTAGGTGGATACTTTCCTGCACTACGCTGCGATCTTCAGGCAAGAACCATTCATCCGATGAGTTAAACGCTTCAGATACGACGTGCTGAACGTTGGACCATAACGTCATTCGAGCTGCCGATGCAGAGCCACCTTCCCGCTGTGAAGATAAACCATCATCGTGGTGATCAAAACAACTTCCGACAGCGCACAATGGCGTAAACTCCAGGAAGAGCAGAGGAATCGCCAGATGCAACATTTTGTCACTGAAGGAGAGCTCCGAAACGTGGCGGTTCAGTTGCCAGGCATACTCTCTTGGACTTCCAGGCTCATTTGCCGGACTCAACGAGGCTGTTGACCAGCCGGATGGAACTCCTGTAGTTTCCAAACGAAAATGTTCAATGCCTTGAGACGAACGTCGACGTTTAGACTGGCAAGACGAGTCCATAGCGCTATGTTGCACCTGATTACGCAGAGAGCTGCAAGGTAAGATCTTGAACGGTGGGGATGGAGAGCGATATATGACAGTCGAGAGGACTCCTGGTGCGCGATAGATGAGTCGTTCGCCTTGAAATTGTCCAACGTAGCTGCGAGACCGAGGTTGGAGCACATAAACCACAAGTTGATCCCTCATTACACGTGGACCAAGAGCGGATTCGTCCTCCATAAGCCTCCACTTCCCCTGCTGATGGTGGTAGTCGTTGAAGACGTAGACGATCGCGCTCTACACCGACATCAGATGCAAAATCGTCATACCGTGTTTCATGCTGACAAAAAGAACATAAACTAACCTTTGGAAATTTGCGTTGGTTGTTCTCGCTCTCCTGTTTGCCGACGAACCAATTTGCAGACGGCAATGGACTCGATGGATCAGCAGTAGGCATCAGCACCATCTCCCCTACTGTGAGCGATGACCCATACGGGCCGGACTCCGAAGCCACGGGCTCAAACCTACAGCAAACAGCCAGCTCATCGCTCTGTCGAAGCGCGGTAGCGTCGCCCGAAAAGGTCACGAGAAGATGCAGCGAAGAGCTGCAATTGGAACCGACGGAATAGCGCTCCGGGCAGCAGTGGGGGAAGCCCTGAAGTGACTAAATTTAACAACACATATACACAAAATGAGAAGTGACAGACAAGGCAGCAGTTGACTCCCAGAATGGTCCATCGATCGCTTGTAATAAGCTCGTAGACCATGATTACGTGGCTGCCATGTATTTCCACTCGTCGCATAGTGAGAGACCGTACCTGGACTCCTCCCAGTTCCAGGCTTCTGTGCACAATAGATCGTTGTCAATCTCGATCCAGGTAGAATACGTCCTGCATAGAGTCTCCAAGTCCTCCTACCGTACCTGTAGTATTCCTGCTGGAAGATCGAGCAAGTGTCGCCTCCGCAGTGGAAGCAGAAGTAGCGGCAGGAGACGACACGCGGCCACGTCAACGTCGGCTGTTGTACCGCTGCATCTGCGCCACTGCCAAACATTACGACAAGGCTGGAGGTGTCGATCAGCCGCGAAGGAGCAGCAAGGGAGTTCCCCGCTTTTATGTCTTGCCTCAACTGAAAAATAGTCCGAAAAAAGAATGTACAGTTAAATATGTGAAAAGCATTCCACAAAAAATGCTTTATAGGGCGGACTAAAACGCCACTCACTCAGAAGCTGACGAACTGGTTTTAAGACGAGCGAACGCTGTATTCACGGGATGGAGGTGGCTACAGCTCGAGTGTCGAGTTCGCGGGGATCTATGCTAGCCGACACTGCGGCTTTTGCGTTGCGACGAAAAATACTCCAAGAAAAGTATTGCATTATTTGGAAGACACAAGTTGGGACAAAAGGTGTGTCTTCCTTTCCATTCAAGCCTGTCTCGTCCGAATTGGAAACTATCTGGCGTACCGAGGTGCATGTGCACTTGTCAAACTCACTTAAACTTGCACGACAGGTTGGTAAAATGCGTGCAGCTCCATCGCTGGCGCCCAGTACACAGCTGTCAGTCTTGCTGCTCGAGAAGAGCTCGACATCTTCTGGAGACCGCTTGAACTGTGTACTTTTGCTGGGCACCGCCTGGTGAAAGTAACTTTTCACGCTGTCGGGTTCAGGGTTCGGCGTAGCACTCTCGTTGAGTCGGATATGAGAGCCAACCATTCCGTCGGTTGGCTGCAAGACGCAGCGCTCCCGAAGCCGGACGACACGGGCTCAATCAGCTCATTCTGCCTTTTACCTCCGGCACAACAAGTTTCGTAGCTTCTACAGTTAGTTCATTCGCCATCAGCACCCATGGTCCGCCGCGCTACGCTCCAACTCCAAGGCTAGCTCTTCCTGCTGCCCGAGCATGTTGACGGCATCGCGGAGTACCCGTTCTACGCGACGGTGACTGCGCTCACGTCGGAGACAGCGACCATTCGATCCCTCGGTCTCGATGACCCAATCATCTGCAGCATCGATACCGAGGTGGCTCGCACGCTCACGGTCTCGAAAGTCGAAGCAACCCGAACTCGACAGCGTCAGCTGCTCCGCCAGGCTGCATGGACCGAGTCAGCAGCTCGCTTCTGGCATGGCCAAGTTGTCGGCATGGACGGCCGTCTTGCTCGGCTTCAACTGGAAGACCGGGTGGTTCTCGTTGAACCAGCACGGCTTACCCCCGTCGCACCCGTGGTGGCGCTACTGCTCCTTCGTGTTCCATTACACGCCTCCATGACGCGCGATGGCTTAACGGACATGCAAACTACGATACTCGCCCGGATATTGGACGGAAGCGCCGGCGCGCCGGCATCCAATGCCATCCCGACCATTTTGGATGGCTTGGTTCAACCGTCTGATATGCCTGCTGGGCAGTCGACGCGACATTGGATCGACCCGCGTACTGGCGACCCATGCACGTTTCAACTTCAGCACGTGGTCGACTACGCGTTCGTCGTAGACGGCAACCAGCCTGCCCCAACCGCTCTACGGCTGACTGTTGGCCCGTCGTTTTGTCGGGCTCCTTCAACCCGTGACCAAGCACCTGCCCCCACATCCTCACGTGACCGCGACCCCGCGCAGCACGACATCTATGGAACAAGCCAATAGCATTATTTCGTTGTTTGCTGATGAGGAACCTTCCAGTCCAGACCAACTAGGCCAGGCCAGCGCGCGCCACAGCCACGCTGCTTTGGCTGCTGCATCTGCCCCAGTCAATTCGGCCACATTTGCACCAGTCTCGGAGGTCTCTATTCCGCTCGCTGCGGCAGCCGGCTGCGAGCCGAATCTATCCAGCCGTCCCTCAGCGTCACTAGATGCGCGCATCATGGAACAGCTCCTAAACCAGCCCGAGCTCCTCGCCCGCTTTGTCCAAGTGATTTCGACCGCAATATCAGCACGCTCAGGGCCCCCGGTCTCCGTTGCCGAGCCAGCCAAACGGTCCAAGTACGCGTTCTCCCCGACGGCGGTGCAGGTCACTGTGCACGAACGTATCACTGCTCCAGAACACAGAGGTAAGGCTCCCTCTATCTTCGTTGAGACGGTTGTGTATGCGGTTGCTGTGCGGTTCCAGCCCCACCCGGGAGTGATCATCAGGTTGTACGACTTTCACTTCGGCATGTTCGGCCTGTCCATTCTTCATTTCGCACTCTTTGGAGTTCAGCAACGAATGACATGGCTCAACGCAGGAGGCGCAAACATGCAAAACTTTTCGGCCGCTGTAACAGCTCCCAGACCACCCGTGCCATCGTCAATGGGTGACCTGGTGGACGCGGCTAGGATGCTTTGCCGTTATGGGCAGGAGTTCTTTGCGCAGCCAGTGCGCGATGTTCTCGAAGCACTGCTCGATTTTGCCCAACAGCTCGACGGTTGGCGCACCTGGACGACACCAGACCTCTCTCATCTCGTGTTTTGGGTGAACTCCGTATTAGAGCAGTTCCGATCTCTCGTTCACTCAAGCAACGGAGATGTCCACGCGTCAAGCGTGCAAACCATCACCCGGCTCTCTCAACGATGGCGAACTGCAGAACCTCATGCATGCACTATCTCGTCGCTCTACTCAGGATTCGCAGCGTCACAGCTCGCGTGAGCGGCCTCCAATGACGACTACACAGCGTGATCGAGGCAACCAACGACAATCTCGCATTCCGCCGGCCATCTTCGACCTAATTCCGACCCACAATGGACTTCCTGTCTGTCTTCGCTACCTGTCAGCAATGGGTTGTCCCTCAGGCTCGTCGAATCGCTGCGTCTACGGCGCTCGCGCTCACGCGGCCCCAGACACTTTGGACGTTCGAGTAAAAGGTCATATTCTCCAGCGGATGGGCGGCCTCAGCGAGCGGTTCGCGCATCTTTGAAGGCGCCGTAGCAGCCCCTGGCTCCAGCTGCTTGGGCAGTCAGCGAGCCCAGAGAGCACCCCCAACGCGCCACCAGAGTCAACGATCGAGTCAAACGCCGTAGACGCCGGTGTCGTACAAGTCTATCGTAACATCGCACCAGTCGGAATGTCGCTTGTTTTGGCTGCCCGCGTACGAGCCTGCCTGTCGTCACGCCTTCGACGTTACCAGCTACTACACGCAATTTCGTGGCATCGCTCTATTGGGACAGAACCTACTGGTGCAAGGCAACTCTGCACGGAGAACGGGCTCAGCGAACAGCAGGCGGTGACCAACCACTGCAAGCGGCTCCATTTATCTCTGGCCGACACTGTGCGTCAGCGGCGAGGAGAGATGGGCGATGATCCTCGCCCAAACAAGGGCCTCGACCCCGAACGATTGCAGTTTGTTCTACAAGGCTATCAATACACCACCGAGCTCGTCGCGATCGCACGCAGTGGCATCGTCCCCACCTGGAAGGTTGAGCTGCCACAAGCCCGAACGCCGCCCAAGAACCATAACTCGGCTCGACTGTTCAAGAAAGCACTCCTACGGAGCATTCGCCAAGGCCAAGCCGATGGAACGTATTTGGTGGTCAGCTTATCGATACTCGAACAGTGGAAGAACATCCATGCAGCCCATTCGGTGCGGTAGAGAAAGAAGGGAGTGGAGCCTTTGGTCGAAGTCCGCCCAATTCACGATCTCAGCCATCCGAACACAGCGTCCACGAATGCGTACTTCGATACTACCTGCCTACCCGACATCAATTACGTCAGTGTGGTCGCCATTGCTCGAAGAATCGAAGAACTGGCCAGAACTCAGCCAGGTATCGCGATAAAAATTCTTAAGGGAGACGTCAAACGAGCTTACTGCCATCTCATGCTTCACGCCGAGCACGTCGGCTGGATGGGTGCTACCTTCCCAGACGAAGACGCCCTCGTGATCAATCTCGCGGCCCCGTTCGGGTGGTCCGGTTCCCCAGCCTTTTACAGTGCTTTCGGGCGCGCCATTTCCTGGTTGGTGAGCGCCAACTCTCCTGCATCAGTGTCTGAAAGCTCTGATAACGAAGCCTTCTTCGGGTACGAGTGGGTGGATGATCACATCCTCGTCGAGCCCGACCGTGATTCCCGTCTCGAGCTCGCTGAGGCAACACTACGCCTGAGCATGATGGCCGTTCTTGGACCCGACAGCATCAACGACTCGGAAGTTCTCATCGTGGTCCACCGAGCAGCAAGCACTCGGGCTCATCTGGAATACTGTCGATCTCACAGTAACGATGCCACCCGACAAGATCCAGAAGGGCCTCGATCGTGTTTCCGTATTGCTGTCTTCGACCAAGGTCAACAAACAAGAGCACCAGCAGCTCCTCGGAAGCCTCCGCCACATTACCGCGTGTCTTCGGTCGGCCAAGCCCTTCTTTCAGCAGCTTCGGTCCGTGTGCAATCGGCTTCGCCCGTTTCAATCGGTGCGGCTGAGCGCAGCCTCACGGCGCGACCTACAGTGGTTCCACTACATTCTCTCGCATGGACATCTCGACAAATTGCCGCTGCGTTTCTTCGGAGATCTCCCTAAACCGACGGTCAACTTCTACATGGACGCCTCGAACACCGGCTTGGCAGTACTTCATCCCGCCAGAGACGAGTTCATTCAGCTCCAGTTCGACGAGGAAGAACTACAGCTCATCGCGGATGCAGAAGCGACGGGGTTCAGCATCAACGTTCGCGAGCACTTCTGCATGGCACTCGCAGCTTGGTGTTGGGGACCCCACCTGCATCAAAACTTCAATTACCCTCATGTTGTCTGCTGGAGCGACAATTTATCCGCTGTCTCATGGACCCATCGTCTACACTCCAACAATGTATTCGCCCAAGAGATCAACCGTGCAATAGGGCTTGCTGAGGCCGTCTTCAGATTTCGACTCTCGGCCAGGCACCTCCCGGGAGCAATCAACCGCATGGCAGACGCTGGCTCACGAGCGTGGTCATCACCTTACGCATGTACATGGTCTGCATTTTCTTCTTCGTGGCGCCAGGTTCAAGTGCCCGCGCATTGGAGGCGAATCTACAAGGACTTCTCCGAGAATTGCAGTCCAGCTCACTGGCCAAGTCGTCCGTCAAGAGATACCAGTCATCCTGGAAGCAGTGGTCGCGGTGGTGTGCAGACATGGAGGGTAGTCCGTGGCTGCCGAACGACCCCACAGTCGCATCACGACAGCTTGTTCTCTTCGCAGTGTTCTGCTATCGGTACGGGAATGGGGCATCCGTCTCCAGAGGCAACTCCCTACAGACCATCCAGTCCAAGATCTGTGCAATCGCGTGGTATCATCGATGGGAACTCGGATTTAACATCGGTCTCCTCCCTCACCACGACATGGCAATCAAGGGCATCCAACGGCTCCAACCATCCCCGCAGCCCAAGCAACCATTCACGTTCCCCATGCTTCGAGTCATCCATCAGCAACTCAACTTCAACTCAGCCCATGACCGTGTCTTATGGGAGGCTACGGTCATGGGCTTCTTCTTTCTCTTGAGGCGCAGTGAATATCTTCGTGACGGCGCACATCAATACCAATTCGCAATCCGACGGTCCGACGTGTGTTTCTACGACCGCCAAGGACGACGCTGCGAGCGCAAGCAAAATGTTCATCGAGTCCAGATCAACTTTCGGGGCGGCAAAAATGACCAAGCTGGAGTGGGTGTATCGCGGTCACTAGCTACATCGACAGTCTCGTGGTGCTGTCCCGTACGTGCTGTATGGTACCTCGTGAAACATCACCACTCAGTGAGTCATAACCCCGACGAACTGCTCTGCAAGGTGCAAACGGACAAGTATCTGCAAGTTCGCGACGTTAACCAACGGATCAAGGAAGCTGCCAGCATCACCGGTCAAGACCCACACCGGTACTCGACTCATTCACTAAGGATTGGCGGTGCGACGGCGCTTTTCGCGGCGGGCATCGACAGTATGACGATCAAGTTATTCGGTCGCTGGCGCTCTTCGGCCTACGAGAGGTACACTCGCATCCATGACCGAGTAACCATGACGATGGCGAGCCAAATGGTGAACTCGACGGCCAACGCTTGCTCTCACAGCCACTATCACCAGGGGTAGCCTCCTCGCCACACCCGGGCAGGAGGCAGTGTCAATACATCAAGCTTCGTGCCCCAAGACTAGTGAAATGTGTACTTTTGCTGGGCACCGCCTGGTGAAAGTAACTTTTCACGCTGTCGGGTTCAGGGTTCGGCGTAGCACTCTCGTTGAGTCGGATCTGAGAGCCAACCATTCCATCGGTTGGCTGCAAGACGCAGCGCTCCCGAAGCCGGACGATACGGGCTCAATCAGCTCATTCTGCCTTTTACCTCCGGCACAACAAGTTTCGTAGCTTCTATAGTTAGCTTAACCCTCCTCGCCACACCCGGGCAGGAGGCAGTGTCAATACATCAAGCTTCGTGCCCCAAGACTAGTGAAATGCACGAAAGTGATGCTTCATCTATTTCCCCGTGCACTTCCAGACTGTGATCCTGGCCATGCGTTCTGAGACTCAACCGTAGCCTACGCACGTTCGCACGCGAAGCCTGGGTATTGTCGAGCTCAACGCTTTGGACATCGTGTCCGGTGGCGTGCTTACAAGCAAAAACCTGCAGCTCCAGTTGATTTTTGTCGCTTGACACGAAGCCTCCAACGTAATCTCCAATATCCCATCCGCCGCCAATACTCGCTGCGAGCGATGATATCCCACTAGGCAACACACGAAATACACGGAGGCTATTAGATTCATGGCCAATGTCTCTGGAGACGTTGTAGCTTGACTAAATGATAACATTCCAATCGAACAGCTTTCGCAGTGGCGTCCGCTACCTGGATCAAACGTGGTAGATACACGAATGTCGATGGCCGATAAAACTTGGATCCAGAACACCCACGACAACAGCCCTCCTATCGCATCACGCCCGTGCAAGATGGCACGCACCCCCTCAGTATTCAGAATCCACTGGCACTTCCAGGCGTGACCTTGACCAAAGCACCTCTCGATAGGCCGCCAATTTGAACCCACTTCGTGCTGCGCTCGCTGTTCTCTCCTCACCCCTTTGAAGTATGTAGTATATGCCTCTCGAAGCTGGGCGGAGAATGCCTGATAGACGTGAGGCATTATAAGTCCCGAATGGTTGCCAAGAAGCTTCGAAAGAGACGGCTTTCGTAGACAAAACCCTTCGCACCTGTACACGATTCTGAGGAGGTCACCGGTAGTGTGGCTGGGCTGGGGCCTCGAGGGGTTTGCATTTGAAGTAGCCGTGTCACGTTGCTGAATAGACATTCCATGAACTGAGTGAACTTTTCTCGGGTTTGTTCCTTCGTGGATATCTTGACGTCTGCTTGGTCAGTAACACCATCGACCGATAATGTGGAGACAAATAAGTGCTGTACCTCTGGAGACGCAATTGCATCTAGCAGCAAGGTGACGCTTTGTCGCACCACGCGTTGATCTTCGCTCTCAAATCTCATGCATGGCGAGTCGCCCAAACAAAACCCGGCGGCAATCTGGTGCTGGACGTTTGACAGTACCGACAGCAGGGTCTTCGATGAGCTTGAGCAGTCACCCAAATCTTTGACACAAAGTCCAAGGAACTTACTGGTACAAAGTCCAAAACGAGCAGCACAATCGCCAAATGAAGCACTTTATCATCGAGGGCGGGCTCCTGCCTGCCACGATCGCGCCTCCAGGGAAACAAAGTCTGCACGGTCGTGGGCGAATCCAACGCAGTATCGACTGCCCCGCTCTGCTTAACAATCGTCACTGGTACTTCAGAAGACAAACCGGTTGAACTCAAAGGACTCTGGGGAATATCTCCAGTCTTTGTTTGAGCAACTTGACGATCGGCACCCGTTGCAACTAGCGCACGATCACGCCGTGCTAGCGATTTCGCCGAGCCTTGGCGATGAGATCGTTGGCGTGCTTTAATCGCGAACCTTGGAGACGGGTGGCGGCAAATGACAGTTGTGCACAAGTCCGGCACCTTCCCACGCCGACGCCACTGAAGCTCTTCAGCAACGCCGTGGGCCTGTGTTTGAAGCACGTATGCAATTAATTGGTGCTCGTGGGCTCCCATAGCACCCTTTGCCTCGTAAAACCATTTAGGATGCGAGCTCTTGTTGAAGACGAACAGAATGGTATTCTAGAGTTCCGCCATAGCCACCGCAAAATTAACTCCAGAACTTCAGTCACGCAGCGATCAGGTATAGCGCCACCACTTTACTTTTCCTGCTGGGCGTTACTCTCCGGCTTAGCGATAAACCAATTGCCACTCGATATTTCGACGTTGTGGACTGCTGGGCGGCAGCTGGGAGCGTCAATTTGTCACCCACCTTGAAGGTGGACTTCTGGTTTCTCAGGTCGGATCCACTACTACGGGCTCAAATCTGCTACACACAAGAAGCTCGCCACTTTGACGTAAAGCGGTGGCGTCACCGGAAAAGATCACGAGGAGATGCAGTGAAGATCCATACGTGAACCTCGTCACATGGTCCGGACAGCAGTGCGGAAAGCAGCGCAGCAGCTATAATAAGACAGGCAGACGAGATTTCAGCACAGAATCTACGGTAGAATTGTGTAGCCAAGCACCTTTGTGCATATACTGTAGTGTACCTTGCCTCCTCCGCGTACATTACACGTCAGGATGCGTCATGAATTAGTCTTGGAGTTTGTATGAGAAAGTGCAAACTTTTATGTGGTGCGGACGAACCGAGACGCAAGAAACGACAGGAGACCACGCGGATGTCCGAGTGTGCAGAGCGTAGTTCCGACACTGGGCTGGCTCCGCGCAGCATCGTTAATCTGTGTAGCGAGCAGTATCGCGAAAAGCGGCGTCTAATTTTAGTCCGCACACTGGTAACACACATTCTCCATTGCAGGCGAAGCAGCGATATAAGGAGCTCGAAGGGCTGTCGAAGAAGAAAAAGGATTCACCTCTTCTGGTCCAACGGAGTCGTCGCCCATTCCACCACTGGTGGACCACCAGGCTGGACCATCGTCAATTGTGGAGCCTGAGATGAACTGGAGTCTGAGGAGCTCGCCAGGCAAGGTTTGTATTGCTATCTGTGGGGTATCGTTGTCTTAACACCGTACGCTTTGCAGGCCACTGTGCCTATTGAAAGCCCTTCCCTTCTGCCAGCTCCAGGCAGGCATACAGCAGCCAGCCAGCCGATGAAAACTTTTTCGAGCCTAACCGACCCGCGACGTCGTTGAGGTCAAGTCAAGATGCTGATCGATGCTCCCGGCAAGTCTCCTTTTAGTCCGTCATGAAGGCTGACTGTGTTACGCAGATGTGCAGTATTTAATTTTCCAGGCCATTGACAACTTGCAGCTTCCCTGATGCTCACCTTCGACACCTCCACACTAGCGACGATGTTGGGCGGCGACTCGTTAGTCCCGCACACAGCCATTAAGTATCCGAATTCGCCGTCGCTGCGCGTGGTTTCGAGCCGCTTTTTCTGTCTTGATTTCCGAGAAGACTCGCGCGTCGCAGGAATACCCCAGGCAGAAGGAGGAGGACGATGTGAAATACCAGGTTATGTTTGCTCCTGGACCGAGCTACTGAAGAACTGTACTGTACATCAGCCTGGAACAGGGAGGAGTCGAGGCATGTCTACTGACACTAGCCACGTTATTACTGTCTGCTAGCCGATTACAGCGCGCGGTGTACCATTGTCTGTCACTTCCTCATTTTGGATATGTCCCGTGCAATTTAGTCGCTGCGTTGCTTCCCTCACTGTTGCCCAACCCACCAGTTCATCAGTTCCAATCGCGGCTCTCCGCTGGGACTTCTTGAGAGGTTTTCGGCTGCTGCGCTTCGACAGAGCGATCAGTTGGTTGTGTGCTGCAGTTTTGAGTCGAAGGTTTCAGATGTTCAGTCAGATCACAGTCGGATCCAAGTATGTTGTCGCTCACTGTAGGCGACACGGTGGTGTTGCCTACTGCAGATCCATTGGGTTCCCTGTTGGCTGACAGCTGACTCATTGGCAAACAGGACAATGAAGACAACCAACGCGAGCTTCCACAGGTGAACCTGCCCTGTGAGTTTGGGCCTACATGTAACATGGCTAACGAATTCACGTAATCATGTCTGCGTAGAATGCAGTTGTCGTCTTCAACGACAATCGGCGCCAGTAGTCAAAGTGGGCCATTGATGCGGTTCGGTATCAGCCAAGCACAGATTGGAAGGGGAACGGGAGCCTTATCGACAGTCATTTTCCGTCACTCGTCTCCAGTATTTTAGGTTCTACCAAAGTACGGACCTCAGGCTCAACACGATTCACTCGACGTGCACTGAGCCGCCGAGGAAACCAGTTTTTCAGGACGAGAGGTGAGTTGATGACATGTTTCAAGAACACAATGCTGAGATCTGCAAGAAACAACAGCGTATCCATGACGCAGCCTGGCAGCTCAATCGCCATATCTCTGAGGTCACCTTCAGTGACAAAATGCTGCATCTGGCGATTCCTCTGCGTTTTCTGGCGTTAGCTCCATTCAGTGCTGTCGGATATGTTTTGGGTCAACGAGGCAACCGCTTGTGTTCCGAACATCAAGGTGCTTCTGCATCAGCAGCTCGAAGGACGCCATGGTTTACTGTCACAACACCTGGCTGTTGCGTCTCGTACCTCATCGGCCGAATGGTTCTTACCTGAAGATCACAGCGTCGTGCAGGAAGCTATCGAACTACTGTTGAATGTGCTAACATCTTTGTCAATATGCCAACTGATACGCTCAACGTTCACTACGGCGGCCACTACAACGGGACCTTGACGCCGCCTTCGTCCAGATTCCGACCAAAGTACAATTGCAAGAACGATTTTTCAATCTTGCGGAGAGGCTTTACGATACAGTGGTAATGCCATGGGCCCGAATACTCTCTACCTCGAGGCTCTGATCTTCCGAACGAACCACTGCCTGCTATCTACGAGCGTGCTTCATTCTGACCGTTGCGAAAAGCGCCCTCAAAAATGCCCCTGCTTCACAGCACAACTTCGGGAGGTGCATGTCACTCACGGGGAAAAATGTTGGATTAACAATCCAGACTCTACACAGTCCCCTCAAGTATGCGGCTGTTGGAATGGTCAGTGGGTTATGAATGACGACGCAACGCGTATAATTCCGTACGACAATGTGCAGAGTGGAGGGGTGTTGATTTGGCTATTGTGCATTCAGCAGCTCGCAACTATCGACATTCAAGTATCTAGTTCAGCTGAAGAAGGCGGGAGCAAATACAGTGCACCCTGTTTTCTTTCAATTGGCACTATACCACTTGACTCACGGATAACACGTCAACAGCGCTGCCAGATGGAATGCACCTAGTGCTGGATGGCGGTTTCCGCGTATCCCGCACACATTCCAACGGTATCTCGTCGCTAGCGGCGAATACATCGTGAAAACCGGCCATCATGTAACCCAGCGCGACAAACCAGCTTATCATCGAACTCCAAGGGAACATTTCAGCGGCTGAGCTTTCCACTGGAAAACGCTGGCGGATATGTCTTCATCTGCCCGAGGTGCGAAGCTAACAAATCTGTAGTGGGTCACGACGATGGCTCTTCCGAAAACTGTATATATCGGTAGCGATGAGCCTCTTCGCTACCGATATACGTGTAAACCTGGTGAGGTCGAGGATATGGTGAACCTATAACACTAATCTGGAGCGGCAATATCAGCAACGTCAACAAACTGTTGTTGAAAAGCGAAAAAAAAAACTCACATACGAATAGTGTAGTATTGTTTAATTGATATCAAGAACAATCAGGCATCACATTGTATCTAACTTCCACCTTCACTGTTAAACAAGAATTCAGTTTATCGATTTGGTAATACTATTACTATTCACGACCGAGTATGAATTCTTGTAATAGGATAAAGTACGTAAATCCATTAGCTTCATAATCGTCGTATTTATTGTGTATCGGCACATTCGATAAGCACCAAACGTTCGAAGTTGACGGAGAGACTTCAGAGGGTTAATTGTAAAGCTCAGTGTGCGACTATCGAAGGTGGAGAGGTCTTTGGTGCCTTTACCACAGCATTGCGTGACTCTTCAGATTCGAAGTGGAGCAGCACCACTAAAACTAACATTGAAGCGACCATTAGCAGTTAACGTTGGAGAATCGCATATTAGACCCGAACATATTTCCGCTCTTCTATTCTATATCCTCAACAAACTTTAAAAAGTGGTTAATTTCACCCTTTAGTTTGCGGCAATCCTCGACCATATAATGGTGGTGGGTGGCGATAAGTACTCTGCAAAAAAAAGAACGCTGCATCGAAGTTTGAGCTCTTCCAACTCGAAAAGTCGCATGAGTTATCGAGATAGGTGTGGAAAACAATTGATACGCCAATAAGAAAGCGTCCATGGCCCTAAAGTATAACATCCCAGCTCAAATGCACTAGCATAACAAGGTAGTTCGTGAGAATTGATTATCATCGATAGCACCAAGCAACAACAGAAAAAAACTCAGCAGGGCCTGACTCCTGGTAAAAAGAAACAAACACAGTTGCCGAATAGCTCCGTGCGCAACATCAAGCTTTATTCAAAACAATTTTTTTTTTCACACGATCGTATCGTTTTCACACTCGCTACATAGCTCGTTTACATGTTTGCCACCCTCCCACGAAGTCGTGCAATCGATTCACAAACACCTTTTTTTGAGAAAACACCGGCTTTGGTTGATCTATATGTGTCAAAGGTGTCTGGAATCTTGCTGTGAGCGATTGTGCCCGGTATTTAGCTGATCTTTTGTGGCTCGGTCGCAATTTAACCACTTGCCAGCACTCCTCGCCATAGAAACCAACCGGGTCCTGATCATTCCGGGGTGTTTTAGAGTTTTCTCGGGGTAAGTGAGTGGAAAACTCATGATTTGATGGAGCGACGCTGCGCAGGCGATCGGATGGCCGCGATCCACACTTGTATAAGCTCTGTGTGGCCCGTTTCACTGGTCATTTACCAGCCTTTAGCTCAGTCTACGACGTCGCTGGGCGAACTAGGGGCCTTGACATTTAGAGTCAACGGCGGCTTTATTAGAGCCACGGATCATCGATACAGTACTACAGTAGTCTCTTGCTGACGTCGTTCTTCACTGGCGATGTCAGTGAGGCTGGACTTCGTGCACATCGGAGCTTGTAGCTGGCATCTGAGAAACTCGTACACTACGTGTTGCCAGCACTCTAAGCCCACGAACACGACCATCATCAGGCCCCCGGTCGAAGAAAGCGTAGCGCCGAAGATGGTTGGTTCGGCCGATTTGTGGATTGTTTTAGTGACATTTGTGATATTTTAGTCCGCCCAAATCTACCGGGACTATTCTTCACAGATGATGATGCATGCTATTTTCCCAGGACCATTTTTCACAGATCAGCTGTATAAGCGAGGGGTCCCTTTGCGCGCTCTACACAGACCATGTCGAGACCCTCCGGCACCTTACAGTAGTCCCGCACACAGCCAATCAACACCCGTGGCAGCGTACCATTTCTTCTCTGTCGCTTGTGGAGATGGCCCAGTCTTCCAGAAGGAACTCTGAGTAGAACCTTATTTGCAGGCTACTTCCCCCTGAATCGAGGCAGACAACTTGCTCACCCACACTGCCACAGGTGGATACCCAAGCAGCCACGTCACTTATTTATTGCAGCCTAACGTTATTACACGGGTCCGGCGGACCATTCAGAGCCTCAAAATGCTGTCTTGTCTGTCACTTGTGGTACAGTGATGTGCCCTCGATAAAGAGTTGGTAAACCTTATGACGCCTTAAACTTTATCTCGGGCGTGTACTGGTTGTGTATTATGAATTGCTCATACAAATCCTTTGATGTCTTATTTATTTTAGAAACAGAATACCACTCGGGTCTTCTTTGTTTAGGCACATTACTGGACACAGATGTACTTGCTCTCAGGCCAGGATATGATGGAAGCAACCAAGTCTATAGTACACAATAGACAAGCTCACAACTAGGTGTTTAGTTGTATGCACACTGTGCATTGTGCATTTCACAGGTCCCGCACAGCTGCTTTCACATCTGTGATGTAGGCGGGCCAAATATTTGTGTATCACATTGTTTGGACCAAATTGTGTCAAACACAAAATTATACCAGCTAGTACTCCCCACTTCTAGTCCTTCGATGTGTCCGATGCCAAGTTCAAATCAATTGCTTTATCTGCGGTATCTTACCTAGCACATTTGTTCCTGTCTGCCTGTGCCATGGTGTACCGGACATACTTAAATTTAGTAGAGAGATGGGTTGTAAAATGTTGCTCGTTAACACAGTCCATGAGCGAGCCTCGCGATTGAGTCGCGGCGAATCTACAGTATTCCACGAACTTCCTCAGCAGCCTGCTGACTGTAGTGCATATGTACCATGCAGACTCGATTCCCAGGGTTGACGTGCTGTACATGTATTAATAAACCCGCGCAAAACAAATTTAGTCCGGATTTTTTGCTGGGCTCTTTTATCCGCCTTTGCGTAACGGATAGACACAGGTCTGGCAGAAAAAGACCCCCGACGCCAACGCTGAGACGCTTCATAGTGTAACTGTCCCTCCCTCGGAGCTTTGGATCGATCGATCGATCGACCGATGGCGGCAAGCTTCCACGTCGCGTGCTGCTCCTTCCTGCGTTTGAGTTGCCGCAGCGACCACGAGCTGTTCTCGTCTTCCTACGTCAGGTACGGCGCTCCCCCACTCGCAGTGTGTGCAATGCTGCCGCCCGCCTGGAGTGAGCATGGCGCTCTCGATCTTTTGGTCTCTGATATCTTGTGTCGCTGTTCTATTTTGGTCTTCACTTTGACTGCAGGAGCAACAAGAAGCGCAGTTCCAAGGTTGGTATATTGGTGCCACCTAAATCTGATAACGCTGTCGGCTACAGGAGCATTTGGGCTCTTTTTGCGAGTGCACAGAACTGATATGTGAGTGATTGCCTTGCTTCCTAGTTGCTGCGCTGCTTCCCTCATTGCTGCCCGGACCACGCACCCAGAAGCTACTGTGGATGTTCACTGCACGTTTTGGTCACTTTTGAGTCTGTGGAGGATGCTGTCACCGCGGACCAGAATGAAGACCTCGTCGTGTGTGCTCGGTTCGAGTCCACGGCCAATGGAGCCACTTCGCGTGCTGGTGATGTCGTGAGTGCATTGCAACCGGATGACATTGTGGCGCTGCCCAGTAGCGCTCTATTACCGTCAGGGGATACAGAGAGTGACTGGGTTCGAGCTGAAAAGGCGGGCGACAGCTACCAGCAAAAATTTCCAGAGGTGAGGACTATATGAGCAGGCAGACAGAACTTTGTCACCACAGCACTAACTGGTTTCCTATGATTCGTGCTGCAGAATGCCATTCTCTACGTGCTGAACAACCACCGCAATCCACAATGGTATTACGGCTATGACAGCGGCTCCACCAAGACGCAGCGCGAGATGAAGCACGTGCTGGCTGTGTACGCACTCGTGCTGCACCCGCTTTCAGATCGCCGTAGCACTCGTGGGGCTTCGTTGCCCATAGCTCGGCTTGGAACGGTAATCGCTCGTCACCCGTCGCCGTCGTTTACGATGGTTTCTTACCGTCGCCAGAGCAACGTTTGTCGTCGAAAGCGGGAGAATGCACAAGACCTAGGCGCGACACAAGCCTTGGATGAGAACGCAGAAGGACCTACAGGTGGCGCTGCTACAGACGAAAGAGAGCCGTCTGCGTCGCAGTCAGAGGATATCGATAGAGCTGGGTTCGCGACGGCGCAAGCTCTTAGGAGCATGGTTCCCGAACGGGCTACTAGTCATCTACAAGTTGACGCCGAATGTGACGGAGCAGTGACGTTCCAGGCCGATTCCAGAGCTTTTGATGAGTTGGGCGCCGCTGATGATGATGAAGCTGGGAACCCTTTTTCGTCTATTCCACCGTTGGGTCAAGAATCGCCTTGCTGCCACTTTTGTTTGGGCCCTCTGTTGGAACCCCCGCATGCCCGCCAAGATACGATGGAACGTCTACAACTGATGCTGCTTGTGCTGCTCTTTATGAGAAGTACGCCACTGGGCGATTTCTCGTTTCACTTCAGTAAGATGGATTCGCAAATTCGTCGTAATTGGTTATCCAATCTTTCACAGTTTGAGCAGTTACGCCAGGGCGAGGAATCCTCGGCGCACGAGTTGCTGACTCACATCAGGTCATCATTTTCGTTGGCGTATTTCGTATCCAAGCGATCGCATTCCGACGTTGGACATTCTGGACGCGAGCAAGCGGTGTTACGGTCGTGTGCCAATCTACTGTTCGACGCGTTCTCCTCTACCCGAGTGCAGCAGATTCTAGAGTCGGCAAGCGTGACTCAAGTCGATGAGAGGGGACAGGAGCGCACAGTTCCCGGGTCATGTGAGCATTTCGGCCATTTAATCGCGGATCTGTTTGATGAACTCACGAGTCTTCTGGATAATCGCTCTGACCCTCGAGCTGCTGCGCTCTCGCGTGATGATATAAATTATGGGCACTCCACCATTCCGCACATTGTGGATGATATCCTATCACTGGTATACGCAGCCCCCAAGTATCGGTCACTACGTACCACAACGTCAGCCCTGCTGCTTCGTAAAAATGACGCCTTGGAGACTGCAGCCCGCAGGTTGTTCCGAGCGTGTGAGCTTCAGCAGGCGTGGAATTCATCCATCCAACGTCTTGATCGGTGCTCCGACTCAACTCCAGCAGACCACGCGCGGGACCAGCCAGATGTCCAGCAGGAAAAAGCTGTCCATAACTTGCCAACCCCTTCGAATGATAAGTGGACCGGTCGGTGGTTCTTGGAGCCGACATCGATCTCGATTACGCCTGTTTCTTCGCAGATGGGCGCCGACTATGGTAGTGCGATGACTCTAGCTACCGGTCCCTCCCTGTTGTCGGTCTTGGGACTGATTCGCATCTTTGCCAGCATTGACCTGGCTCTCGAGAATCTACAGCTTTCCGTGGGGTCATCGATAAGGGGCACAGGTCGGAAGCGGGCGGTGTTCGTATTGGATGGGCAAGCGCACCCGATAAAAACCTTGCCGAATGATGTGGTGGCGGCGGCAGGAGTGGCGCTGTTTGGTGATTGCTGGGGACTCAACGAATACCAGGGCCGCGTATCGGATGATCGATCATCGATGGAGCTTCTTCTGACAATTTTACCTCTCCAGACCTCAAGTCAAGACTGGGGTAAAAGTGATAGGGTGTGGTCAGCGCAACGAGTACACTTGCATGTGGCGCTTGAGGGTGAGCGAGATGGCAAAGAAAGTTTCTCGGTATTTGCGCACGTGACAACAGTCTGGGAAGCACCTTCTCCTCAACATTCTTGGCCGCCCAACGTGCAGAGCGATCTTGAGGTAAACCTATCGTGGTCGCCAACGCTGGAGGTACTTGCAGTTTTTGTGGGGACTGCATGAGCGTTTGTGCGGGGATGGGGCGAGATCGTTGGACGATTCGATAACTGTTGCGCTGCCAGGTGTATTGTCGTCTGAAGCCTGCCGTTGTCCCCTCAAGTCCACTGACTTGAAGTCACCTGCGGTCACAGTTGTTGAACTTAAATCCTGCCTAAAGTGGTGTCTGTTTCTTCAGCGCAGTGTATCTTCTTGGGCAAGAGGTTCCAGTATACTAGTATCGCTTTATGGAGAACCGATCTGCATACTGTACTCATCCACGCGCGATTTGCCGTCAGATGAGCCGTCCTCGACCAGCTGAAGATCCTTGACGGGAAACGATGCTGTACAGTACTGGATGATTTGCAGTTGAGAAAAATCTCGCTTTGCAACAAGAGAAGAAGCGCTTGCCGACATAGAGCAGCCTACACACACTGTTGGCTGTGAGCGCAACAAGGATAGCGTGGTAGCCTGGTAGGTCAGTTTAGAATTTGCTTCGAGAAAGCCTAAGCCAAGTCTTAACTACGATGCCACCGACGCCGCTTGCCACCGGAGACTACCTGCTGGTCCTCCCGGAGGACGTCAAGCAGGCTGTCGGCGGAGCCTTCTACGGCGTGGTCATGTCGATGACTCGCTCATCGGCCCGCGTGAAGTCTGTCACGACGACCCTACCTGGAACTTACACGCTCGCCAAGTCGTTGGCTGGGAGGCGTCGAGTACCCAGTTCGGAAGCGGAAGGTCAACAACCGGGAGTCTGGCTGCGGAAGGCAGTCTGCGTGCAAACCGGAGATTTTCATTACTACGGCCAAGTTGTACAGGTCAAGGGGGAGCGTCTCTGCGTCTCCACGTACCTCGGTGTGAAGGAGTGGCCAGTGCAGCAAGTCGCCGGCGAGGTGTATCCGGTCATCGCCCTGATCATGGGTTCCCAGCGCTGGGCGATCCGAACGTGGGCGTTTGAAGCCCTGGAGACCGCTCACGACCGACTCCTGGACGCCATCTTGGAGGGCGAGGCGAACAAACCACTCCCAAGCAGCGGGCTAACAGCAATTGTACCAGAACTCAAGGAACGAACGGACCTGCACGTGGAGTGGCTGGCCGCGGACTCTGGTGCTTCTCATACTACGTCCCTAGACCACGTGCTCCGGTATGTGTACTATGTGGACGGTAAACGTGAGGTCCCGGACACTATGCGCGATCGACTAGGCCAATCATTTTACGACGAACCAAGTTCCCCAGTCATGGACGGGCCGGCATCGGAAGGAGCGGACAGCTTCTTCGAGCCATGGGGAGAAGAAGACGACGTTGGACACGTCGGCGGCGGCCATGGCGACATCCCCGCTGCCGTGCCACCGACAGAGGAGCGCAGCGAAAACCAACTGCAAAACACGGAGCTCTGGCGGCAGACCAACGCGTCCGCCAGGTCCAAAACGGACGACGCAACCGGTCATTCGTCTACAAACCTCGAACTCGAGGTGATCGAGCTACTCCAGAAGCACCGACCGGACCTTCTCGCACCGTACCTCTCCAAGGCGCCGCCAGCTCCTGCGCGAAAGCGACCGATCGAGTCCGAACCAAGTCATGCATCGAAGAAGGCCCGCTGTGGCTTCTCACCTACGACGGAACAAGAACGAGCTCACATGGCCATCACTAGTGATCAACACAAAGGTAAGTCCAATGATGCCTTTGTTGACTATGTGTTGTCGGTTGCCCCGTTTGTTGCCCACCCGAGCGTACGACCTCGCGTTCGGCAAACACGAACTGTCAATCATGCATTTCAAGCGCGTTGGTTTCTTGGACAAGCTACGTTCGCTGGCCCCGGGTATCGTCAATATGTCGGACTACCAAGTATCGGCGCCAAAGCCGGAGACGCCCAGCACCTGGGCTGACCTCAGCTCATCGACACACAGCTTCGTGGAGTACTGCAGAGATCTATGTGACACTACGACCGTACGCGTAGCGGAGGCGCTGGACCAGTTTGTCCTCGCAATGGAAGGCTGGAAGCAGATCCGCGACGATGAGTTACCTATCCTGGTGTTGTGGATCGATGCGACGCTGGAGAAGTATCGCAGTGCGGTTCTGCAAGATCTTCACGACGGAACGGCATACAGATCGGAAGCAGCCTTGTGGTTCTCCACGGCAAACCCGGAAGTCCACACTCTCCTCTTTGCGGTTCTTGGGGACCGCACCATGCAAGGAAGACGCGGTCCTGCGGCGCCCAGCAGAAGCCCCATGGGTCCATCAGACTCGCCTCCAGTGACAGGGCGCCGTCGCACGTTGGCAGCAGAGCGCAGAATCCCCGCGGATGTAGTGGCAAGCATCCCAGTCAGAGACGGTAAGGAGGTTTGTCTCCACTATATATCTCAACGCGGCTGCAACCCGCACGACCCGGACCACTGCACGTTCAAGAACCGCCTCCACTTTGTACCAGCCTCCATTTTACCCAAGCTTCGTAACTACATCACGTCTCGCCTCGGCGGTGTCTGCAAAATGCTGAGCGACAAGTGAAGAAGTCCGGGTCGTGTCGGTCAAACACGGCCTGGACAGAAGGTTCGACACTCGCAACACGCTCGGCGCGCGGACGTTATGGTGGGCACCGGTTCAGAAGACGAGCGTACTGTGCAGATTGTAGACGTGATCAAGGAGTCAACCCAGCCACGCAATACAGCTAACCCTTTTGCTCGTTCGTACAAGCGCAACCTGGTAGAAAACTCCGCCATTCATTCTGTTCCCCGCGGAGCCCTTCCCACAAGCCGCTCTCCGTTTCCGTCAGGACCCGATCTCATCTACGTAACGGCCGCTCCCACTGCGAGGCCCCAGTCCTCGCTAGAGCTGTCGCCTGACACGCGGCCACAGCCCGCGCGATCGCTACACGTCCGCTCGGTACGGTCAGAGCCTTAGTCTCTGATCGTCACCCCTACGCGCACAATGCGGATCACCATAGACCAGAGTAACTGGAAGTCGTGCAGGATGCCACGCCGGACGAGCCTCGCACGAGAGTGCAGTGCTTGCCAAGCCTCAACCCCACCAGAGGCGGTGGCCACGATACACTCCGTTTCCCCCTCGTGGGTACAAGCTGTGCTGGAGCGCGACCTGCAGAAACACGAACGCGATCGGGCCCGCAGGCTCAGTTTGCACCTACAGCGACACGGAATTACGATCAAGAACCCGCCAGTCAAGCCGGATAATCACGCGCTAGACGCCACGATGCAGCACGCACTCTCTCGGCTTGCTCTACAGCACGGTCACAGCCTGGTCAAAATTGTGGAGCTGGTGCGAGGACAAACAACGGAAGACCCACGGCCAAACAAAGCACTATGCCCAGATCGACTTCGGCGGCTCCTGGCCGGATATCAGCACTGCGATCTTATCTGCCAAATTGCTGCCGTAGGCGTCTCCCCGCGGTGGCAAGTGCAGAGGTCCCAACGCCAAGCTGTCCCCGACAATCACCAGTCAGCCAACCGGCACTTGCACGCAGTGCTGCGCAGTATCCGCCGCGGACAAGATGCCGGCCAGTATCTCGTGCTCGACGACACCATCCTGCGACGCTGGAAAAACACGCACGTGAGCCCCTTGGGCACAGTCGCCAAGAAGGACATCGACCCCAGCATTGAAGTCCGGCTCATCCACGACTTGTCGTTTCCCCGCGGTCGATCAACGAACGAGGCATCTGCAAAATCCGAGTTCCCCCCGATCGACTACCGTCATGTCGTCGCCATTGTACGGCGCATCGAGGCGTGCGCTGCAAGATTTCCCGGGCGCACGATCTGGATTTTGAAAGGTGACGTAAAGGGTGCCTTCCGCCACCTGATGCTGGCCAGTCGACACGTCCGCTGGATGGGCGCACGGATCCCTCAGTGCCGGGCACTCATCGTCGATATGTCCGCGCCTTTCGGCTGGACGGGTTCCCCTGCCTATTACGGCGTCTTCGGTAGTGCCATCTCCTGGCATGTCGGTCGGGAGAGCCCAGCGACAATACTCGGCGACACGACTTCAACGGATCGAGAAGCCTTCTTCCCCTACGAGTGGGTGGACGACAATATCCCGGTCGAACCGGACACTGCTGGACGGCTACAAGCGGCGGAAGCGTGTCTCCGACTCGCTATGATGGCGGTGCTTGGCCCTCGTGCCATTAACGAGGCGAAGTTCTCCGCGTGGAGCACCAACATCGAAGTGCTCGGACTCGAGTTCAACAGCGACGCAAGGACTGTGGCAATGCCACGTGACAAGCTGGGCAAAGCTGCTGCGCGCGTGACAAACCTCCAGCGCGCATCGTCGGCTTCGCGCCACGAGCTAAACTGCCTCCTAGGGAGTCTCCGCCACGTAATGTGCATCCTCCGGTCGGCAAAACCGTTCTACCAGCGTGTACACACCGCCAGCAAGCGCGCTCCGTCCCGGGGTCGAGTTCCTATCGGCGATTCCATTCGCCTAGATCTCCGATGGTTCCAGTACATCTTGATTCATGGCCTATGGTCTGGTCTACCTTCGTCAATGTTTGGTGAGGACCCCCCAATCGACGTCCACTGGTACATGGATGCCAGTGACTACGGGCTAGCGGTCGCGGATTCAGCCCAGCAGCGCTCTATCCAGCTCACATTCGACGACCAAGAACGCTCAATGATTCGTGGGACGAAAGGTGATCATCTCTTCAACATCAATGTACGGGAGCTGCTCTGCGTCGCACTAGCTGCGGTGCTATGGACTCTGAACCCCGCTCGTCGACGATGATACACATCAGGGCTTGGTCCGACAACTCCAGCGCGGTCACGTGGACTAACCGCCTGCACAGCGACAATTTGTTTGCCCAAGAACTACTTCGCGCGATCGGCCTGTGCGAGTCCGCTCAACGTTTCCGGGTATCGGCGGGTCATCTGCCGGGCAAATGCAACACCTTAGCAGATGCCGGTTCCCGACAACACACTGATCGACTTGCTCGCCTTTGGACTAACGCTACTGGTTCTTGGACGCAGACACCCGTTCCGCCACGATTCCGGAAGATATATCAATCATTCTCAGCGAACTTCAATCCCGAGCACTGGCCGACTCAAGCTACCGTACATACATGGCGACCTGGCGGCAATGGTACTCCTGGTGTAGCACCCAAGGCCTCCTCCCGTGGCTCACAGGCGATCGACAACAGGACTCGGCTCAGCTTATCCGGTTTGCGGTCTTCTGCTGGCGACCCGCTCCTCCAGCGCGAGGAAACTCAGCCAGCACCATTTTGTCCAAGATTGGCCATCTCAGCTGGATTCATCGACGGTTCTGTGGGTTCCCGGTCGGCCTCCACGAAGGTCACCAACTGGCCATGCGCGGGATGTCAAGGCTGTCGCCACCGCCCCAGCGCAAAGACCCGTTCACCGTCGACTTGCTCCGATGCATGCGCTCCCAGCTCAAGTTCGACTCCACCCATGACCGCGTCCTGAGGGGGGCTGCGGTCATGGGCATCTTCTTTATGCTAAGGCGCTCGGAATACCTACCCGTATCAAGAACTACGCCATTCAATGCCGTGACGTCAGCTTCAGGACGGCCACAGGACAACTAGCGACCACGCGTGCAGAGGCGGCGCTGGTCGCGATCCATTTTCGCGGAGGAAAAGCTGATCGGAGGGGAGTCGGCGCAACGCGCACCCTCGGAAAGTCGGGTGTCCGCTGGCTGTGCCCAGTTCGAGCCTGCTGGACTCTCGTTCGCCTCGCCAAGATCCGACAAGCTCAAGATGGTGAACCGCTGTGTACGACGAGCCTCGGGACGCCTCTGACAGCAGCAGCCATGACTCTCGCCATCAAGCAAGCAGCCTCGAGAGCAGGCCTAGATCCGTGTGCATATGGAACGCATTCGATACGCCGCGGCGGAGCAACCGCAATGCTTGGGGCAGGAGTCGATCGTCTCGTGATCAAGCACTTCGGTCGCTGGAGCTCGGACTGCTACGAGCAATACACGCGAATGGATGGCCTGACCATTTCAAATCTGGCTACGAGAATGGTGGCTGCAGATGCAGTCAATGTCAAAGCTGTCGGGACGGCGGGGCCACTCCACGCCGCACCCCTCGGCTGGAGTTCCATTCCCGCTTTGAATGAACTGACTGCAGCCCCCAAGTGCGATGTTTGAAGGTGCAAATGTATCTTATTTTGAGCTGGGGTGAGTACACAATGGACGGACATTGGCTGAGTTGTTAGCAGACTAAACGACTGTAATGTACCTCACCAAAAACTAACTAACTCTGAGTACACAAATGGCACGTGGTAGGCTTCCACACAACTCCGCAGTCTTTCAAGATCAGACGATGGGTCCATTTCGTGGTCTAAATAGTTCCAATATACGTGGAACTAACTGAACACCTAGCGATGAAGAACACAAACCAAAGTTGCGCTGTTTACAAGCCGATCTCCGAGGATATTTCCTCCACCCGATGGCGTAGATGGAGTCGGTGGCACTCTTGCTTGAGCGTTTGGGCAAAGGTCGAAGATGCAGGCGAACGTTGAATTCAGAAACCGAAACGGACATTGGTGTATGGGTCTTGGCAACGAGACTGCCCGTAAACCGTAAATTGTTGTCTTCTCAGCAACGTGGCTACGCAAAAAAGTTTAGTCCATGGATACTCAAATTGTGCATATACATGTACTCTATTTGGACTATTGTTTTACGTCAGTGCGTAATGCGCTGAGCTCAAATCTCCACCAGAAAGAGTATTACAGTACATGTATTATGGTAAAGCCGATCCGGTGTGTGCCGATTAAGTAAAACTAACTAGACAAACCTTGTCTACTTTCGGCGTGCAAGCGAGCATATTAGTGCGTACGATAACAAGTATGTTTGTGAGTATATCTCTTCATCTGCTCCAGGCGCGAATATGCCAACGCTCTACTTCTCTGCACTTAAGAATCGACAATTCAATTTAACCTCATTTCTTGTGATCCCACCTGATTGGCTAAATATATGATTTCAACCATATGATCGGGTTTTAGGTTGATTAGAGAGCAAGCTCACAAAATTGCTTAGAAAAACCTCAAAATCTAGACTAATGCCACGACTTTCGCACGCGTCCTACGACAGCGAAATGCACAGCACTGTATCGACAGCTAACCAAGCTTTCCCATGATACCATTTTGGTGTAATATCGCCAAAAATTGTAGCCACTTCGCAAAAAAAACATAATGCTACCCAAAATTGGGCTTTCAAAATTTGTTCTGTTTCCCATATTCCTGCTGTTTTTGAGCAGCCAATAGTATAACCCGAAACCACCAAATCTCAGCTTTCTTTTGAGCTATTTTCTGTCTCCGACAGATGTTTTTTGATTTTTTAGAGCTGAAACATAGAACTGTCGATTCTTAGGTGGGCCAGAGAAGTACCGGTCGAGCTGTAGAGATCGAGTATATTTTGAGTCAATGAAGGTGGACTAGCTAGCCATTTAGCGAAAAATATATCGCGTCTGCGTATTATATATTACGTGTGAATCAAGTCGAAAGCCTGTAAACATAGTGGGATTGATACTATTACGGCGAACATGTATTGTTTCGAAAAACTTCACGGGTTCAAGGAAGTTTGTACCCCGATTTTCGATCGTCTGGACGTACTCGATACTTAATTGGCACGTCAACATTCTGTTGAATCACGCTTTTTCAGTTGACGCTTCGCTACTAGAAATGTCTTTTTGGCCCTGTCGGCGTTTATCAGTAAAAAAGAAATTGAGCTATTCGCCACGAGTGGAACAACAAACTTGCACCGATACTCGAAAAGCAATGCAGCGTTTCTCTATTCGACATAACTTGTGAAACACAAAGTAGTATCTAACTTGCAGACGTTTGACGTTCGTTATAAGTTTTCACTTTACACCGGTGGTCTGTTAGCAAGCATTTTTGGCGAATTTGTCCTTTATCAAAATGGATGCAGTGCCTGTAGAATCACCTACTACAATTGCTGGATTGCAAATAAGTAAAGCGATGCTGAATTTGTTGATGTGGTGGGGCAATCCAGTGGAACTTTGGTGCTAGTGACGCTCCAAAAGTTTCAAAATGGAACCTACAGACAAAGGGTACCTGTTCCAGTCGAGCGCCATTGTGTCAAAAACTCTGGTGTGCGTGTTTCTCGCAGCGAGTATCTCGTCTATGATAATTCTACGGTTGCCTCGCACAAGCTGGGTCAAAGTACGCGAAGCTCTGCTACCGGTTATGGTACGAGCCAGGTTCAAGGCCGATAAAAGTTGCTGCCAACTATTGTTCTCTCTGCGACTGGCTCACAAGAGGAAACCTGGATCCAGGGTGTCACGCTAGCGCTACAGACCAAATAGCTACACTTCCTCGATCTAATACAAGGCTGCCAAAGTGTACAACAGGTCAGGCCATGAGAAGCAAACAAGAAGCGCCGCCAGAGGACGTCACAAATACATGCGCTGACCACTTTTTGACTACTTGTGTCCTCCTCTTCAGCCCTGTCACCGGACTCGTCGGTAACGACGCGGGACTAACTGGAGCGTAGACGACCTGGTGTCCGAGGAGCGCGCGAGCTAAGCCGTTGTCGTCGCTCTCTACCCGGCGGCTCGTCGCTTTTCTCTCCTCAGCCACTTCACCCGCCCTGGTCCCGCCACAATTCAACGGGGAGCGTCGCCGTTGAGGCTGTGTCAGCGTGGCGTTTAGTCCGACGAAGCAGCGAGATGGTTAGCTCGGCCGACCATGTATTATCGTGTGTTTTGCTCATAAGCTGACATTTTAGTCCGCAAATTGATAATCAGTCTGGACTAATTTTCACAGATCAGGTGCATTCTATTTTCTAGACTATTTTTCACAGATCAGACAACACCTAGCACCAAGCTAATACTACGCCGATGCCCGAGTGCAGAACGCCAGGGGTCGACGCTGGAGTGGCTCCGCGCAGCATTGTTGATCTGGATAGCGAGTAGCGTGCAGATTCAACATTGGTGTCGCCTACTTTACAGCACAAAATTTGAGGAAACGGGATCAATTTTGTTTTGACGGGGCGTGGATAGAGCGTGAGTGGGCTGATGATATGCTCCACAAGACACCGTTGGCCGGAGTGTGTTTCCCTGAACTAGCGCAAATACAAGTAAACTGTAGTCTGTGTATGTGTGGATCCTCGAAGGATTCAGCTTGTCTGCTTCGATTTGAAGCAGCCCTTACTTACCAAGGTATTGGTAAGTACTTATCTTGCGCGAGCTTGTCACCTTGTAGAGCTGCAGTTCATATCAGTAGAAAGTGTTCTACTCACCAGCCTGCCACGCTCTAGCCCCACACGCAGTCAAAAGCTGTGCGCCAAATGCATCTACTCCATGCAGCCCGTAGTATCCCGAACGCATACCCACGATGCATGTTGCCCCCCCCCCCCCGCAGAGATCTTGGCTAGGTCCAAAATTGCGCGTAAGCTGTTCGGCGCTTTCTCGTGATTAAACGGTCCACGAAGAAAAAACTCCAAAGATCTTCAGCTGGTCGAGTCGGATCATCTGCCGGGAAATCGCGCATAGCAGATTGGCTCACGCTCGAGTTGAGTCTCAAATGAACAAAAATGCGGTAACTCTGGGCTGTAAGGATGCGAAACTAGAGCAGCACTGCGTATTATAGTCCGACTCAGCACCAGCAATCTCCATGGGATCATCTCATCACCACATAGATAAATTATGCCGTCCCCACAAATACCGAGTGCGCTTTGAGCGTTGATGAGCACGATAAGCCATGTACGTTTGACAGTCTGGAGTGCTGGCGAGAAGGTGTGCCCCACTCAGTCGTTATTTCGGCAGAAACGGAGAAACCCTTTTCGCCGTCGCGCTCATCTTCAAGCGCCACATGCAAATACACTCGTTGGTCAAACGACGAAGCACCAATTCTGTCCGAGTGCCGACTCGAAGTCTTGACCAACAGAAGCAGATCTATAGATATTCTATCGTCCGATACGCGGCCCTGGTATTCGTTGAGTCCCCAGCAATCGCCAAACAGCGCCACTCCTGCCGCCACCACCACATCATTCGGCAAGGTTTTTATCGGGTGCGCTTGCCCATCCAATACGAACACCGCCCGCTTCCGACCTGTGCCCCTTATCGATGACCCCACGGAAAGCTGTAGATTCTCGAGAGCCAGGTCAATGCTGGCAAAGATGCGAATCAGTCCCAAGACCGACAACAGGGAGGGACCGGTAGCTAGAGTCATCGCACTACCATAGTCGGCGCCCATCTGCGAAGAAACAGGCGTAATCGAGATCGATGTCGGCTCCAAGAACCACCGACCGGTCCACTTATCATTCGAAGGGGTTGGCAAGTTATGGACAGCTTTTTCCTGCTGGACATCTGGCTGGTCCCGCGCGTGGTCTGCTGGAGTTGAGTCGGAGCACCGATCAAGACGTTGGATGGATGAATTCCACGCCTGCTGAAGCTCACACGCTCGGAACAACCTGCGGGCTGCAGTCTCCAAGGCGTCATTTTTACGAAGCAGCAGGGCTGACGTTGTGGTACGTAGTGACCGATACTTGGGGGCTGCGTATACCAGTGATAGGATATCATCCACAATGTGCGGAATGGTGGAGTGCCCATAATTTATATCATCACGCGAGAGCGCAGCAGCTCGAGGGTCAGAGCGATTATCCAGAAGACTCGTGAGTTCATCAAACAGATCCGCGATTAAATGGCCGAAATGCTCACATGACCCGGGAACTGTGCGCTCCTGTCCCCTCTCATCGACTTGAGTCACGCTTGCCGACTCTAGAATCTGCTGCACTCGGGTAGAGGAGAACGCGTCGAACAGTAGATTGGCACACGACCGTAACACCGCTTGCTCGCGTCCAGAATGTCCAACGTCGGAATGCGATCGCTTGGATACGAAATACGCCAACGAAAATGATGACCTGATGTGAGTCAGCAACTCGTGCGCCGAGGATTCCTCGCCCTGGCGTAACTGCTCAAACTGTGAAAGATTGGATAACCAATTACGACGAATTTGCGAATCCATCTTACTGAAGTGAAACGAGAAATCGCCCAGTGGCGTACTTCTCATAAAGAGCAGCACAAGCAGCATCAGTTGTAGACGTTCCATCGTATCTTGGCGGGCATGCGGGGGTTCCAACAGAGGGCCCAAACAAAAGTGGCAGCAAGGCGATTCTTGACCCAACGGTGGAATAGACGAAAAAGGATTCCCAGCTTCATCATCATCAGCGGCGCCCAACTCATCAAAAGCTCTGGAATCGGCCTGGAACGTCACTGCTCCGTCACATTCGGCGTCAACTTGTAGATGACTAGTAGCCCGTTCGGGAACCATGCTCCTAAGAGCTTGCGCCGTCGCGAACCCAGCTCTATCGATATCCTCTGACTGCGACGCAGACGGCTCTCTTTCGTCTGTAGCAGCGCCACCTGTAGGTCCTTCTGCGTTCTCATCCAAGGCTTGTGTCGCGCCTAGGTCTTGTGCATTCTCCCGCTTTCGACGACAAACGTTGCTCTGGCGACGGTAAGAAACCATCGTAAACGACGGCGACGGGTGACGAGCGATTACCGTTCCAAGCCGAGCTATGGGCAACGAAGCCCCACGAGTGCTACGGCGATCTGAAAGCGGGTGCAGCACGAGTGCGTACACAGCCAGCACGTGCTTCATCTCGCGCTGCGTCTTGGTGGAGCCGCTGTCATAGCCGTAATACCATTGTGGATTGCGGTGGTTGTTCAGCACGTAGAGAATGGCATTCTGCAGCACGAATCATAGGAAACCAGTTAGTGCTGTGGTGACAAAGTTCTGTCTGCCTGCTCATATAGTCCTCACCTCTGGAAATTTTTGCTGGTAGCTGTCGCCCGCCTTTTCAGCTCGAACCCAGTCACTCTCTGTATCCCCTGACGGTAATAGAGCGCTACTGGGCAGCGCCACAATGTCATCCGGTTGCAATGCACTCACGACATCACCAGCACGCGAAGTGGCTCCATTGGCCGTGGACTCGAACCGAGCACACACGACGAGGTCTTCATTCTGGTCCGCGGTGACAGCATCCTCCACAGACTCAAAAGTGACCAAAACGTGCAGTGAACATCCACAGTAGCTTCTGGGTGCGTGGTCCGGGCAGCAATGAGGGAAGCAGCGCAGCAACTAGGAAGCAAGGCAATCACTCACATATCAGTTCTGTGCACTCGCAAAAAGAGCCCAAATGCTCCTGTAGCCGACAGCGTTATCAGATTTAGGTGGCACCAATATACCAACCTTGGAACTGCGCTTCTTGTTGCTCCTGCAGTCAAAGTGAAGACCAAAATAGAACAGCGACACAAGATATCAGAGACCAAAAGATCGAGAGCGCCATGCTCACTCCAGGCGGGCGGCAGCATTGCACACACTGCGAGTGGGGGAGCGCCGTACCTGACGTAGGAAGACGAGAACAGCTCGTGGTCGCTGCGGCAACTCAAACGCAGGAAGGAGCAGCACGCGACGTGGAAGCTTGCCGCCATCGGTCGATCGATCGATCGATCCAAAGCTCCGAGGGAGGGACAGTTACACTATGAAGCGTCTCAGCGTTGGCGTCGGGGGTCTTTTTCTGCCAGACCTGTGTCTATCCGTTACGCAAAGGCGGATAAAAGAGCCCAGCAAAAAATCCGGACTAAATTTGTTTTGCGCGGGTTTATTAATACATGTACAGCACGTCAATCCGTGGGATTTGAGTTTGCATAGTACTCTTCAGTATCTGTGCTGAGTCAGCAAGCTGCTAGCCGGTAGAATCGTGAGACTCGGTTTGGCATTTTGTTAATAATACGCACGTTTTAAAAAGCGTATATATTAATACCCCTACTGAACTTAAGTACACCTGATATACCATGGTACGGCAAGCAGGAAACAGCGTACTGAGTAAGCTACCGCAGATAAAAGAATTGGTTCCAATCCGACGTGGTTTTCTAGGGCGTCGGCAAGCCCCGGCATCAACTTGTGTAAATAGTTTTGTGTATCACAATTTGGGGGAAAGGGTTGGATGCACAAATATTTGGCCCGACTACATCACAGACGTGAGGTAGAGAACTCAGCTGAGACCGCGAAAGTCTGTGCGTTGCATAGGAGGTCAACAGAGCCTAGCAACAGCTTGTTGAGGCCTACATGTATTATAGTCTCTGTGGTATAGCTGTTGACGTCTCCGCAATGATATATACTTCCATGGTGTACGTGTGGTTAGCCCACACATCTCCCGCTTGAGCTGTTCGCTTCGACAACATTGCCAGCACCTCTTTCACCGATCACCCGAGTTTAATCTCGAAAGCGACGATATCAAGACCGTTTTACGCCGCCTGGGCTTCCCTGAACCAGTTGGCGATGACGTTTTGCCCGCAACTACCGGGTGCCTCAGCAGTAAGGTTCGATTTAGGTTTCCCATAGCCAGCACATCGATCAAACTCCATCCTGTTATTCAAATTTGTTTTTCTTCCTCTGTGGTTATTATATTATCGATTGGGTGGGCTGGACTGCAACTCCAGCAACATAGGCTGCACCCGTGAGTTGGGCCAACTTAAAACAGATATTTATGTCGGGACGAAGATACATTTGCGATAAGGGCAAAACCAGGTGCATGTAACTTTACTGTAAGCAAAATCGATCGTCAGATTTCCCCGAGTAGCAGCGTGGTGATGCCGGTCTAGTGACAGCTTTTATATTGTAAATTCTGGCTAATTTTGCCGATTCGGGTCGGTTTACCATATGGGTTGAATACAAATGTCAAGTATTTTGGAATCGGCCTCAGCGACTTCTTATTTCGTATTTTACTGAGATAGCATGTGTACCGTAAGGTATGCTGCTACGCAGCCGGCACAGGATTATTCGGTGTCGCATGAAGCCGTGAGTGTAGCGCACGCGTTGAAGTATCCATCCTATATTGAAAATTTATGAAAGTACACTTAATAGGCCATCTGTAACGGGGTTACACGAGAGTTACCCGAAGGGTTAAGAAGTGGCTACACACTGTCTAACCTACATCAATAGGATAATCAGTACATGGCTTCAGAGCCACTGATTATGACTAGGGCTCACTATGCTAGATAGTGAACCGGATACATTTACACCGTAGGCGGCTTTGCCGCAATAAAGGGAAATACATTCAGTTTGAGATTTACACTGAAGAGTCTAGGGTTGACTCTTGGAGTCCGTAGGGTGTACGGACTCGTACGTTCTGGTATTAGAACGGGCGATCTTAAGCTGAGACTCTGCGAGTCTGTTAAGCTTCCTCTGACGCAAAGCTACGGCAGCCCCGCTGCACTTGGTAGCACTTGTAGTCAATCCGACACCTGAGTCTGTATAGACTGACCTCTGTGGAGAATGGAGCAGTTCGCTCACTTGCCCCCGAACCAGCAGGATGCGCTTAAAAAGCTTATGTCCTTGCTGGGCCCGGAGGGCGTGACGCAACTTGCGCAGCAAGGCCCCGACGCGGTGAACGCGCGTCTCGAGGCGTTTTCAAGCTACGAGAATGCTCGGCTAGAGCACCTCCAGCAGAGGATCTCAACTGCCGCGGCGCCCCAAGCGCCCCCTTCGTCGTCCGAAGCGGGCACAAGACCGAAGCCGCTCATGTTGAGCGTGAAGACCTTCGAAGGCAAAGAGGGTGGAAGCTTGATGCTTTGGACCCGTGAGGTTGAGATGGCTATGAGCTCAGCTCTACTCCGGACGGAGCCGCAGCGCGTGGCACTAGCTATCTCGAAGCTCGGTGGGCGAGCGAGAGAGTGGGCACTAACGTCCGGAACGTCGGTTGACGTGGCCTTCCCGACGTGGGACCAACTGAAACAGCAATTATCGCGAGTGTTTGCTCCGCCTAACGATGTGTATCGCGTGCGCTCACGCTTCCTGGCGACCAGGCAGAGCAAGAAGGAGTTGATGGACTATGTCCAAGAGTTGAGAACTCTCATTGCTGGTATGTCTGCGGACCCCCTGCCGGAAGCAGTCACCGTTACGGTGTTCATGGAGGGCCTCCGCACTGGCGTTGCCAGAACGGAGGTGTTCCGAACCCACCCGAGCTCTTTTGAAGAGGCTGTGAGCGTCGCATTGAATGCGGAGCACAACTTTAAGTCGTCGAGACTTGGGTGGAATGCGTCTTATGCTAGCGCGTCGAGTGGTCCGGAACCCATGGACCTCAGCTATGCTGAAGACGAAGAAGCCGAGCTTCGTGCTGTTGAGCAGCGTCGCGATATCCGCAGATGCTTCATCTGTGGTGACACCCGCCACCTTCGTGCTGGGTGTCCGCTGCGCCATCAGCGCCAGGCTTCGTCACGCCGCTCTTCGAGTTCGAGCCAGGGCTCTGGTTTGTCTCGGGGAAACGAGAAGTCCCAGTAGGTGCGGGGCGGCCTACTGGGGAAGAACTAAGTTCTATTGAGCCTCCGCGAGGTGGAGGTCGACAGGACTTAGCCCCGAAGAGAGCCGTACTCTCTAACACGGAACGTGTATGCAAGCCGGGCTTGCTAGTTGTCCAAGCTTGGGTGAAGGGCTTCACGAAGCCATGGACGATTTTGATCGATTCGGGAGCGTCGGGTAACTACGCCCGGCGTTCTACGATGGACGGAAGTCAGCTTTATGCTGAGGCGCTGGTAGCGCGCGGGAGTGACATCGTCACTGTTCGTCTCGCGACGGGCACTCGTGTCACGGTGCCTAAGGTCCCTGTGGACCTGGGCGTGAAGTTTTTCGATTTTGATAGCGTGGAACGCTGTCTGGTCTTAGACCTCGATTCGAGATATGATCTCATCCTTGGTATGGCGTGGCAGGAACGCCACGAGCCTTGGATCGATTGGAGGTCGAAGACGCTTGGTGCTACGCACTTCTCTCCTGGCGGAGCATTGGCGAGTCATGAACCCACCTCTGCTAGGAAGCAGGAGCGCTTCTGGCGCGAGCACTGGACCGAGTCGGTCAATGTGCTGGACATCGGAGTTTCCGAGTTGGTGGACACTGAGTGTGTCGAGAACGAGCGTTCCGAGCGTGGCTCGCGGACGGCAGGTGGAGCGGCACGAATTCCGCTGAGCGGGTGTGCGTCTGAGGGCGACGCCCTGCTGCGTGCCAGCGACGGCACGGTCGGCACGATGCCGAGGAGCCATGGGCTTTGCCCGGATGAAGATCGTGGAGTGGCACGTAATCCACTGAGTGGAGGCTGCGGATCGTGCAGCTCTTCGCTGAGTGTCGGTAAAGACACTGGAGCTCCCCTGGAGCTGAACGAGGTGGTGACACCTGGCGTCAAGACGCACGCGAAATCACGGAGCTCTTCAGGGCGGACGGTGTCCATGAAGGGGAGGCAGCGCCACAAAGCGCTGGCTGCGAGACGCAAGGCGTCTGCGATCTCACGAGTCGAGAAGGGCGTGTCGAGCGGTGAGGCTCCACGCGAGAGCGAGCAGCTCTATACACTCGTGAATGGAGTGACGGGCGACGTCGACGGAGGTATCAACCTCGACGACTTGCCCTCACTGTCTGCTCTCCTGGAGCTGGGTGAGATGTCCTTGGCCGAGTTCGGCGAAGCCTTGAAGGCTGGAGACTTGGCTGAGGTAGTGGTCATATGACCCGAAGAAGAGTTGAACTCGTCCTCGCTTCTGGATGAAGCTGTCCTGGTAGACACCAAGAAGGCGCTGAATGCGCGGAGCGGATCGGCGATCCTGAAGGACCCGTCGGATCCCTTGTATCAAGTGGTAAGGGATTACCAGGACGTGGTCTCGAAGGAGCCGCCCTCGGGGCTACCTCCGGATCGAGGTGTTTGACACGAAATCGATCTCGTTCCGGGAACGAAGTACTGCGCGACGAGGCAGTGGCCCTTGCCGAAGGAGCAGTGTGACGTCATTGACGCGTTCTTCCGTGCGAAGCACGAGGCGGGCATGGTGCGTGAGAGTAAATCTCCACACTCTACGCCGACGTTCTGTGTCAGAAAGCCGAATGTCAAGTGGCGTATCGTGCATGCTTTCAGCAAGCTGAACGCCACTACCATTCCGGCGTAGACGCCGATTCCTCGGAAGGATGTTCTTCAGAACAACATGACAGGATGTACGATGTACAGTGCGCTCGACTTGGTCGATGGATATTACCAATTGCTCATGAGGACGAGAAACATTCCTCTCACTGCGGTGAGTACTCCGAGGGGCATGCTC